GTGGTAAGCACATACCATAATTTTCTTTTTAAATAACAATGTCCCTACTGTATCCTTTAACAATACCCCACTTATCCCTGTTGAACGAATCCGATACCTAGGACTCCACCTGGACAAACGACTCACTTGGAATCCTCATATCAGACTGAAACGACAAGAAACCGCTCGACGTTTTCGACTACTCCAGCACTTAATAGACAAACGTTCTAAATTTCCAATTACTTACAAAAGACTTATATATATATATATATATATATATATATATATATATATATATATATATATATATATATATATATATATGTATGACAATAATAAGGCCTATTTGAACATACGGAATCGAGCTTTGGGTCTCTACTAAACCATCGAATTCCACTCGTATTCAATCCTTAAAATCCAAATCCTTCGTAAAATCCTCAATGCATCTTACGTTGTCACAAATGAACCATCCGAACCCTTTTGTTTCCAATCTTGCTTCTTCTTCAATTCCTGATAACCCCCAGAGGCGTCTGAAAAGAAGATGGCCACAGGATCTTCTAATACAGAACTTTAATTTGAGTTCTACCAATGGGTGGGCAGTTTCTCTTCATGTTGTACATGTCATGTTACCAATGCCATATTTACTTGTTCTATTTTTCATGTAATACAGTTGTAAATTCCACTAAAATAAAATTAAAAAATTACAATTTCGAGTTACTATAATTCTCCTAAGGTGATCTGTGAGGTCGTTATCAAATCTATAATAAAAATAAAAATAATCAAATGCACGCAGTAATTTCAGAGGTAAGATGAATTTTTCTTCTTTTTTTTTTTTAATTTTAGTATTCTACATTCCGGTTACTTCAGCAATTACTAGATGCTCGAAACTTTCAATTTAAACAAAAACTCATTTACATGATTATAATAAGGCCTATTTGGACTTACTTACTGAGTTGAGCTTTTGTAGTCTCATTAAACTCTAATTCCTCTCTTAATCAATCCTTACAATCCAAAATCCTTTGTAAAATCCTCAGTACTTCTTATTTTGTCTCAAATAAAACTATCCATAATAACCTCTGTGTTCATATTTTGCCAATTTGTTACAAACCAGAAACCCATCTTTCTATGATTCAGAACCATTCGAATCCTCTCGTCTCAAATCTTGATTTTTTTTTTATCTCTTATAATCCTCTAAAGGTTTGGAAAAGAAGATGGCCTCGGTACCTCCTAAAGTAAATTTTTTATTAGAGTACTATCAATGGATAGTTTCTCTGTTCACATTTACAGGGTGTATTTTTATTTTAATGCAGTTGTAAGTTTTATGAATAAAATTTATCTAAATATTAAATTTTGGGGGTTTATTATTATTGTTTAATAACGGTCAATTATTGAAAAAAAAAAACGATATTAGTTAAGAAAAGTGTTGTGATCGGGTCAAATTCTCGAAATGCGATTTTCGACGGATCTGTACATTTCATAGTCCCTGCGTCTGAAAAAAATATTTTCAGCCATTGGTCTGTCTGTGCCAAGATTATCTCAGGAACTAGTTGACCGATTTTGTTGCTTCTTTTTTTTCTATTTTGTAAGGTTTTAGCTACTCAAGCCTGCGACACAAATTGTGTGCTCTCTGCTCAATAGCGGCTGCGCAATAATGGAAAAACATATTTTTCTATAGACTGTAGTGCAAAAAAGGCTTTAACAATTTTGATGAAACTTTCCTATAATTTTCTAGTTAATGTCCTTTCAAATTTCGTACATGAACTAAATTTCCGCGGAAATTTAGGAAAAAAAGTTATTAACTAAACAAAAATGTTTTTGTGGTAATTAAACTACTTATAAAACAAAAAAAAAATCATCAGAATCGAACCAGTATTTGCGATGATACAGCGTGTTCTATTTTCTTATGTATGTTTTAATTTATTATTTTCCTACCTATGCTTACTAGGTAAGGAAAGTATTTTGAACGCTGATCTTCCACAAGCCAGTTTACATTGCTTTAGTTTATCAAAGAAATCTTACTCAAATCTTTTCTTTGATCAATTTTCTGGAAAATAAATCTAATTCAATTTTTTTTTTTTTTTTTTTTTTTTTAAAGTACATATTTAAAGCTATGTAACTTCTCTGAAATCAGTAGGAAAGTCGTGTGAGTAGACACTCTAGATTTTTTATGTTAGTGTCTACGCCTAATATTCTCCACTTTTCGAATACTTCTGAATAAACATTTCACCTCATCTGTTACTTTATCATAGCTCTCCCAGGCACAAACATTGACTGCCTTTATACCTTGGGACCCAGACCCAGTAGACCCTACAAAAAAGGGGGCATCAAACTGATGGGGGCCTATACGGGATGAGAGCCCTCCGAGTAAATTGGAAGTTATCAAAAAGGCTGTAAACCCCTTGGTTACATTCAGCTCCTGCAAATCCCATAAGTCTCTCTAACCCCTTTGGAAAATAGGCCAACTCAAAGCACACATTCTTATATACCCCAAAGTAAGCATTATCACAATGTTACATTATTGCAATATAACATGCTCAGGTACTATATTTACTATATAGTAGGGTCATTTCAAAATTTTGGGCATTTTTTTATATCAATTTTTTCAAGAAAAAAAAATTAGAGATATAGCGTTTTTTTCGACTTCTTACTTTTTTTTAGGATATAATAAATGTGGGTGCATAATCAGTAGTAAATACATAATCAACATAACCATAGATACATAATTTTGACAAACAAATCTCAATTGTATTATAAAAACGTTTTCTTAGCGATTTTCATATATTATTTTATTTTAGTATTAGGAGTGTAGAATATTACAGGAGCTTTCCTATTAGCTCTGTAATCCTATATATTATTTCTAAAAGGCATTTTTTTTGTTGGTACACAATAACTTTGTCAATTCTTCATCAAATCCAGTGACTGACCACTCATTTTCAAGATATTCTTCTCCTTCACATGCGAAAAATAGTCCTATCCTCCTGAAATTTCTGGAAAAAAAGTTATGAAGAAAAAGAAACTTTATTCGCGAATAACTCAAAAAGTATGCTAATAAGCTAAAAAGTATAATAATTAGAAAGATTACTAAATTACCTACAAGACAAAAAAAATCTTAAAAATCGGACAATTATTAAAAAAGATATAGTCCATTAGTTTTGGTATACTTAATAATTTCTTCCTCTTTAAAGATATTGCATTTACTATTCTACTACACTTTTTTTCCTGGCTGATATGTTAACTCTATTATTTCTTAAAGGCATTTGTTTGTTCTTACATTTTATTTTTTTTAATAATTTATAAAATCCCATGATTGGGGCTTTATTATCTTTCCAGTCAGCGTTTAAAAATAGATCCTAGCAAAGTAATTTGTACAAATATTTTGGTCTATTATGTTAAATGGAATATTCTAATCAACCAAGGAAAAAATATTAATTCCTTCCTTTCATAATATATAGGATCTATTTATTTCTAAATTGTTTTGCTATTTCTTCACTAAACAAAATTTTCTGCGAAGCATTCGTACGAGCCAGCTAGCTGTCACTTATTATTATCAGCTGTTCATTTAATTACTTATGTGTTGAGATCCTGTAACCTCTAACTAACCTAATACAAAATAGAGATTTGCACCCTGTTGTCTTCTTTATAGTATTGAGCTCCTGTAACCTCCTGCTCTCCTAATACAAAATAAAGATTTTAGACCAAACATTTGTAAGCAAAATTTTATTCATCTGGAGGCGATAAGTTCGATTTTACCTTGGTTGCATTAGTTATTTTTTGATCTAGACATTTTACTCTTGAATACAATATATTAATTATTATATTATATATACTATTATTTATATTATATTATGATATAATTATAATTATTATGAAATCACATGGAAGCACGATATAATGTACAATGAAAATATTAGAAATAAATGGTTCAAATTGATGTTAGACTTGTATGAAGCTGGATAAGTTAAGTATATATTATGGTTACAAATTGGCCATAAGAATAATCACAATTATATAATAATATAAGTTGGCAATAAGGCGCGATGTATAATATAGATATTTAATTTTTTTTGAACCCTGTACTAATGATAGATACAAAAATAAGCTGCGGTAACTTGTGGTTTTGGTAATTATCTGGCAAATTCAGTCAATGAAAGCTAAACAAAAATCAGGCAAAATAAAAATCTTACCTATATATAAATAAATGTATACCTATATTGTTCTTAAATATCATATAAGACTGAAGGAAAAATATATAAACAAATAAATTGAAAAACTGTGTGGCTATACATGAAATTATATATTTACAAAATAATATCTAATTAAAATAAAAATATAGGAAGAAAAAAACATATATATGTAGAATAAACATAGGAAAATAACATAACAAAATAGTTTCTAGAGGAACTTAAGAAGTTCTCTGATGCACATTTCATGATCAGTCGGGTTTGGAAAGGAGTAAATGCTTAAAAAGAAGAGATTTAAATGAGAAAACTGATTGTGCTTGTTGGATATCAGGAGGGGTAGTATTCCAAAAGGAGACAGCTTCATTAATTAGAAAGGATTTTGTTAAACGCAGCAGTTCAGTAAGGATAGAGGTCGGAAGAACGGGATCTGGTTCAATGGAGGATTTGAATTGTAGGCTCTGAAAAATATAGGAGGGTTTCTGACTTCTATATGGATAGAGCCACTTCAACTGGTTGTAATACTGAGTAATAATATGCATATCTCTTGAGATCCCGAATACAAACATACGCATTTAAGTTTGGCTTCGAGTTCTGCCAAGAGTCCACTGTACACCATACGATCATAGTCGAAATGGGGGAAAACGAGAGAGGAAACCATAAGTTGACGGATTTTGTATGGAAGGAGATAGCATTGAGGGTTGAACTGTTTCAGGGTAGAAATAGTACAACATGAAATTAATAATGACAAAGCCATTATTCAGCCACTTTCTTATTATTATCTTGATTAATTTAATGTTATTTAATATTAATTCTAATTTGCTTATTAATGAATTGTTACAGAGGCAGCTGAGACTTGCGGATGCTAGACAAGTTGAAGCAAAAGCGGCTCGAATCAAAGAGTGGGTGACAAATAAGCTGCGGGAGCTGGAAGCTCAGAACCAGCACTTACGAGAGCAGAACCACAGGTGTAACCAGCAGCTAGAACTGCTCAGGAAGCACATGGCTGACATCAGCACTGAGAGGAGCAGGCCCTCCTCACTTCTCCGCTCCAATACCACGGCCTCCACCAAGTAATTTATATTTGTATTTTTTTTTATTCACCTTATTTTAATATATTGATGCCAGTCGATTTTTTTTTTGTACTTACATACAAGTATGTAGCAACCAAAACAATTTTTTTAAAATATTCATTAATTACTATAATAGGTTGTATAAAAAAAATTACCGTTTTTCAACCAAATATTTGTATTATTATTTCTTTGATATAAAATACAATTAATAACCAAAGTATAGTCCATTGCTACCTACCATCATTAGCCATCTGCTAGCCAATTGCTAGATCCCACGCTTATACCATTCTTTGGGATGGCAGTCAAAGAACTCTTGGATCGCAATTTCAACTTCCGCAAAATTATTAAATTTTTTCCCTTGAACAAAATGAGCGATGGATCTAAATAAGTAGTAATCCGAAGCTGCGAGGTCTGGACTATGTAGTGGATGAGGCAGGAGTTCGAACCCATGAAGTTCTTGAGAAGTATGAGAACGAGCATTATCTTATTGGAACAAAATTCTTTTTTAGTTGATCTAAGCAGGATAACACTCTGAAAACTCTTACAATCTTTTCAGTTTTCGCAGTACAGTTCAGAATTTATAGAGCATCCATCAGGAACAAATTCATGATGAATAACACTTTCAAAATTCCAAAAAACGAAAAGCATGAATTTATTTTCAAATTGTCTCCTAGCAGCAACCGGAAAAGCAGTTTGATCGTGATCTAACCATTGCTCACTGGTATTCAGATTTCGCTAGTAAACCCACTTTTCATCACAGGTGACAATCTTCTGGTAAAATCTCTTATCAGAAGGGTTTTCTATAAATTTTCAATAAATTGCTGAGGAGTAAGTTCATGAGGGACGAGTTTATTGCTCTTTTTACCTTCTCAGTGCTGAATAGATGATGACTAACAGTACCTTTCAACACAGCACACTCCCTGGCAAGTTCTCGAGTACTTGTGGAAAGATTTGACTCAACAGCTTCGTGCAGAACCTCATCAATATCCATTAATAGTCGCATGGAGCTCTTGTTCCTTTCCAACGTTGTATCTCCACTGCTAAATTTGTCAAATTAACACCACACAGTGTGCTGGTCAAGGACACCTTCGCCTTCATATTTAATAATTTCACGAGTTGCTTCAGCGGCTGTGAAATTTTTTTTCCAGTAATGCCTTAAAATTACAAGAATTTCATTGGGCGATGTCATGTTTCTTCTTTGAAACAAATAATTAAAATGAGGATTTTTTTTTAAAAAGTCTAATGGGATTAAACAATGTTCTGTGCCCTTCATTGACCAGGAGATTATGAACAAGGATAATATTTTCCCTCTAAATAACTAGAGATCAGACATCAGCATTTTATGTTTTAAGAAGCGTATGTAAGTTTATTTTCTTTAAATTGAGTGTTACTACATTTTCTTTATAAAATACAAAATAGGTTAAGTAGGATTTTTAATTATCATTATTTAAGCATTAATATCGGATTTCTTTAAAAAATATTCTGATTGATCTTATTTACATTTCCTTTTAAATAATAGGGGGCTGGAAGCAGTATATGCTGAAGTGCCAAGGAGACCGAAACCAGTCAGTCAAGACCCAACCCTCGGTCACCGACGCCACCTTTCAGCGACTGCTGTAACTGTTAATAGTCCCTCATCTCAGCAGCTGAGTGATGATCTCCAGGCTGCTGTCGAGAGCCTAGCTCTTCTTCCCGTCCACATTAGGCGTAATTGTTTGTTACCTTTTCATTATTATTATTATTTTAAAAATTATAACTGTTATCATTATTATTATTTGTTTTGTTTTTTATTTTTCAATCAGTTTACTTTGATTTATTTTGTTTTGTCATATGAAAATCTGTGAATAATATTGCTAAAATTTATACAATACATGAATTTTATTGTTTATTGCTTCTACACAACTTTGTCTCAAGGTCAAATTAAAAAAAAACAATGATCGTCCAAGCTTATTTTCACTTAATATTGTTATTCGATGGCTCTATTGGCTCAGTGGTTTTGACCTTTAAGCCAGGTTGTGGAAAAGAAATAAAAAAATATGAATAAAAGTCAAGAATAAGAAATACTACATGAATTTTATCTACGCTTGGAATTATTGTTTCTGTACTGTATTTTCTGGTTATTTTAATTTTTGGTGATGTGTAGAGGCTTTAGTGTAATAAGTCAAATCAAAATTTGTTATTATAAAACAAGGATACAATATATTTAATTTTTTAAATTCATTCTCAACTTTCAATTTTAAATTTTATCAGGAGCCTATCAAATATAGTATTTAAGTCATTTTTGCCAAACTGAATCCTAAAATTTACAGATTTTAAGGAAATACAAGTAAAACTATAGGTATAATTATATGAATTATTTTCTATTCCATATAATCTTATTTATTTCTTATGTCCAATGTTTCGGGCTCTTTGCCCATATTCAGAGACAATTCTTAAAATGAATGATGTTGTTTCAACACTCCACTTAAATATTTGAATATGGACTTGGAAGGACATATGCGAAGAATAAAAGAGGAATTTAGGAACAATTTAAGTGGAGTCTTGGAACATCATTTATTCCATTTAAGATTTGTCTTTGAAGAGGGACAAAGAGCCCAAAACGTTGGTCATACGAAATAAATTACATTATATGGAAGAGAAAAAAATTTCATATAATTATATCTAAAACCATTAAACTTTTCCTTAAGAAACAATTGAAGTATCGAGTAGTATACAAAGAAAAACTTTTTTTTCTATTCCAATTATAATGTTTATATTTTTTAAATAATAAATTTAGAAATTTTTCAATGCAGTAATTATTTATGAAAATCACTGTTTATTTGAACTGTATTTTAAAAATACTAAAACTTGATTAGAACCACATTGGGAAAGAATTGAACTTCTACGCTCATTTAATACATTAAAAATGTTGATTGGAATTCAGTTTGGAGAGAAAAATGGAGAATGATTCAGAGTGGTGGAGGGAAAAATGGATAAAAATTGTATTATAAAAAATTATATTTTTGTTTACAATAATGGTACAATTAAATAATTTTATTTTTCATTTGAATAAAACGGTAAAAAGAGCTTGTGATGAATTATTATTTTAAAAATACTTAAGAAATAAAAGTTTTAAAACGTTCCTTATTAAAAAAAAAAAAAAAAAGGCCTTTTTCAAAAGTGAACTTATTATTTTTACATGACTTTTTTATTATTTAGGTTCCTTTTCGAAACAATATGATTGCACCATCAATTCATAAGGGTCTTTTTACATCGGAATCAATACTTATCTTGATTAAAAAAATTAATTAGGCTTTACTTTAAAAATAAGCAACTCATTTTATGATTCCAATTTAATCCAATAAATTGATAAGAAGTGCATTGAATTAAACAGCCATGAGATTCTTGATTTTTTGTTTCTTTCTTTATTGATTAGAACCATAATTTCATAAGAACAAATTAAAAATATTTTATTTATGCTATATTTATCATTTTTTTTTTTTAATTTTAGCTAAGTCAGAATGCATGGACTCTGAACAAGGCCATGATTACGCAGAAATCTATACACCAAGTACTGAAAAAGATGCTTGGGATGTCGGCAAACCTCCGACGCCTCCTTTGCATAGGTATGGTTCGTCTAGTCGAATGTAATATTGATGATTAAGCTAATCATATCGATGAAATCTTCTTTTATTTACCTTAACAACTATTATTACAATTATTAATTAAATTTAAATTATATAAGATATTTTAAATATTTCTATTATTTAATTTTTAGGTTTCCCTCGTGGGAAAGCCGTATTTACCAGGTGGCCAGTGAAGGCCTCGCACCTCACCCTACCCCAGACTCTAGTAATAATAACACTGCCTCAAGTAGAATCCACTGTTCCCATGGCTACTGTGATATCAGTGTACCTGTTTACGCTACTGTTAAAGGGGTAAATAATTTTAATCATAGTACAATCAAAATGATCCACTTGTTTCAAAATGGTGCTGTTATCTTCTATATTTCCAATGCTTCAGCCATGCAGAATATTATCAAGGAAATTATTATATAAGATAGTTGATAAGTAGATAAAAGTTTGACCATCTGAAAAAGAGATGAAAAAAATTGCCAGGATTTGCAGTCAAAAATTTCTTTGATCAGTCAGCCGTGGTTTTGTCCCAAATGTGTGTGTACAGTCAGCATCAGGACTAAAAATTGAAATTTATGAACTAGCACCAGAATCATGAATCAGAAACGATGAATATAAAAGGATAAGAGAAAAGAATGACAGTAATAAGACAATAATAATAATAGTAAATAAATAAGTTAATAGTAATAAAACAAAGAACAACATCAGAAAATTGTAGTTAGAAAAGTATTAGAAAAGAAAAAGGTGAAACATAAAAATAAGATAACGATTATACAGGCTTAATAGTTATAAGAACATTTTTATTCGTTTTTCGAATTCTTCGTATCCTGCTGAAACATAAAATCTCAAATTTTGAGAGGGGGTTAAGTTTTTGAATTTTTTGTTAAACCAAAAATTATTAAACAAATAATCAGTGTAGATAAAATAGAAACAATTCAATAAATAAGAAATATGAAAAAACAATGTTTGTATATAAATAAAAAATTAACAAATATGGCAAACAAAAACATATAGAAATAAAGTTTAATAAATGTAAATAGTTTCTTAACTTTTCTTAGTTTATTATCTTATTTATTTACTCTCATTATTAAATTATTACTGTTATTCTTTACTCTTATCATACTTTTATATTTATCATTTTACTGATTTTATTTTATATTTTTTTAATTTTTAGGCCTGATAATGTGACTCACATGTTTGGGTCGAAACCTCATCTAACTTATTAAAGAAATTTTTGACTGCAATTCCTCACAATTTTTTCATACTTATTATTTCAACAGTGAACTACATACCCATCTCTAAAGTCATTTAAAATAGTTTGATTTTTAAGACTTAGGTAATTGAAATAACTAATAGTTGAGGACTTTGTCATGATAATCTTTGAAGAGTTTAAAAATATTAAAGGAAAATGTAAAGTAATGATATTTTAAAACAAAAATATCACATTTTAGAATTTCCTTGACAATGGCCTCTCTAGTAAAAACCTAGGAGTTGTAAAATAAAACAAATATTGAAACAAGTGGATCATCCTGATTTTTTGTAATCGTTGAAATACCTAATAAATATAATAAATAAATTAACGAACTTCTACAACAGTAAAGACTTTAAGATTTACTTATATTGTGAAATAAAGAGTTGCATTTATATTTATAGATCCATCTTAAAAACTAGCCTTTTAGGACCTAAAATATTGTTAATTCCTGACTGCTAAACTTAATATATGATATGATTAAGATAGGGGATGAATTGCTTTTTTTAAAGAGGGGGAGATGAATTTTGATAATTCAATTAGAATGGTTTTATTCCCATGGGTAGGTCAAATTTTAGTTTAACATACAAAAGCAACTATCTTTTCTTGGACACTGGACAACAATATAATAAAGTTGTGGTAGGGGTGTCGAGCATTTCCGGGAGAATGACAGCATAAATCTATCAATGGTTTATGCAAGTCAAATCGAGTCACCAGCTGGCTTTGACAAACAATAAGTGTTGTCGCATGCCCGGATGCTTCTTTGAAATAAAGTAATTTAACAGTACTATAAATATTATCTTTATAAAAACTATTTAACTTTCATCTTGTATACGGTGAAATTTCCTATAATGGACACTTCCTTATTGCATACTTTTCTCTATAGCGGACAAATTTATAATCTCCATTTAATTTCAATAATTTTATAGTATTAATGACTTCTGCATTACGGACATTCTCTATAATGGATTTAGACAGGCTTGTTGCAAGAATATGAATGAAAAGACTTCATAAACAGCAGGAAATCCGTTAGGCTCACATTCTGAAAAATATATTCAATTGATAGTAGCTAAGTTCAATTATGAATTATGGGAATTCGTTTTTGAAATAGTGGTTACAGTTTTAAGCTTTTCTAGTTGATTTCCTGCAGAGAAAAAAAAATTTATGTTGTCAGTGTTAGGGCAATTTGATTCAAAATTAGAAAAAGCTAGGATGTAATATTTTTTCTTTTTCTCATTACACTTATTTAGTTTTAAATTTTGAAATATTCTAATTAATAACATTTATTAAATATTCTAATTTGTATTTTTTATTATTATTTAAAGAGAGCTAGCCAGATTAGGTCAATGCCCTTTACCGGCGATTCTTCCGATGATTCGTCAGATGGAGAAGAACACACTAATGCTTTAAATCTCTCAACTACTAGAGTTACTAATAGCAGTTCAGATAACACAGGTAAATATTCCTTTTAAGATTAATTAAACATTTTTATTTCTGAGGTTTATTCATTTTATTTTAAAATTAAAGTGTTAAACTGTTACGATGCATTAATTTCTTTTTTCAGATACTTCAGTTTCTAGTTCCAGTCCCAGCAAAAGTCACATTCAAACTACCTCCAGTTTCTCTCCTGCTAAACGAAGTTCATCTGGTTCACCAAGTAAAAGTGAGTATTTAGTATAGGTTTTTTTTTTTTTTTAATCAATTAGGTATAGCCATTTTTACATCTTTTTTTTATATAAAGAATTTTGTTATAATTTTTATTTTATATTATTATACTATTAACTTTATTTTGTTATATTTTAGCAATGGTTCAAAAACAAGGTACTTCTTTAAATATATCTTAAGAAAAATTTCTATTGCTTTCAGATACCTCATTGGAATCAGGCTTGTCAGATGACTACGCCGTACCACCTGACGCTGAAGAATGGCCGCCTAGATCACCTTCCCGACCTACTAAAGTAGAAACTATTGAGAAATCAGGTCATCTAGCCAAGCTTGGAGGAAAATTAAAAACATGGACCAGAAGATGGTTTCAACTTTACAATGCCAAGCTGCGTTATTGGAAAAGTCAGGTATGGTTCAATTGTCATATATCACTTTAAAAAACTATAGGTTATACAAAAGTCACAAATTTATTTTAGAATAGAATAGAATAGAAAATAATTTTACTCTGGGACGAAGTCCCTTCAGAATAACAAAAAAGTACAGAAATTAAAATGTTATATCTGGCCAAATAAAAACAAACATAAAAAGTAAAGATAAAGATAAATCAGTAAAAAAAATATATTAGTTATACATACTATATACAAAATAAAATAAAAAAATCTATATACAAAACTCTTGAAACCATACCAAGATACATAAAACTATGTACAATGGTAAAATATAAATAAACTGTTTTAGAAAAAATCAAAAATACAGAAAAAAATAAATGTAAATTCTTCTTAACAGTAAAATCTGTGTTTCTGTTGAAAAAACAGAAAGTCGAATCTATTATAAGTATTTAAGTTATGAGCTATATGTGAATATATTATTATAAATAATATATACTTTTACATAAAAGGTTAGCTGGTATCTGACTGTTTTGGGGACAGGAGTTTTATAGGAGGGTTTTGAATGGAGATAGGGATGAAGAATGTCAAATTTTGATAGGAAGGGAATTCCAAAAATTAACAGAGCGAGCAATAAAGGAGTTTTGGAACGAGGCACATCTGTGAGAAGGAATGTAAAGGTCGGAAGGTCAAGATCTTGTGGAGAGGGAGTGAACTGAGGACTTGAATTGGAGAAGGTTGTAGGCGTAGGAAGGACGATGATTGTTGATGATATGATAGAGGAATATACCTAGAAAATATTGTCTTCGAATGGAGGGGAAGAGCCACTCTAACTCAGTGTAGTGGTGAGAGACATGGTCAATGATTTTACTTTGTTTTATGAAATAGTTCAACAAAACAAATTTCACATTAATGTTTTATAGTTATTTTTAATTGATAATATTCAATAAAATAAAATTTCAAAAAATGAAGAATGGACGAGAACTTTTTTTCTTGTAATTAAAAATTGGGCAGAAACATTTTTCTAATATATATATTTTTTGAGGCCAAGGGCAACTTCAGGCACCTGTCGAGCCAATAAATAAATAAAATTGTCTCTATGTATCTCTATGTATCTCTAAGGTTGTCCTCTATGTTTCTAGCCATTATTTACATCTACCTCTTTTTTTATATTGTTCTAATAATTGATTTTAACATTTTTTTTTTTTATTTTATATTTATTATTCAATATAACAAGCAAATGTGAAGTAAAAGAACACAAAAAAAAAAGTACATAAATTTAAAAGAAAATATCCACTGTAATACTTCAATAATTATTTTAAGTTAGTTGGTTTCATGGCCTCGAAGGCTTATTAGTAATGGATTAGGTTGAAAATTTACAAACTGTCGAATTAGTGTAGGAAAGGAACTTTAGATTGAAGAAGTTTTACAATTTAATAGTTGCCTGTTTTCAAATATTATCTATTTAAATTTATATTAAAGCAAACTAATTAAAAAGATGTTTACCATTTCAGAATGATGTAAATAGAAAACCTCAAGGAGAGATATCAATCGATGAGCATTGTAGAATTACTCGTGCTGAAGGAGCCGCAACTTTCGAAATAGCGACAGAAAAAAAGACTTATTACCTTACAGCTGACTCTATAGCAGCTACTGAAGACTGGGTTCGGGTGTTACAGGTAAAATTATTTTATTTAATTCATGTTTTATTTATAAAGAGACAATACAAAATTATATAAAATATGTAACCGCTTTTATTTTATTTTTTCATTTTAGAACGTACAGCGAAGAAACGCCACTAAATTGCTGTTGAGTAGAGAACATAATAAGCCTACACTTCAAGGCTGGCTGACTAAAGTTAGGAATGGTCATGCAAAGAAATGTTGGTGTGTTCTTCTCGGCAAAATGTTCCTATATTTCAAATCCCCTTCAGATAGTGTAAGTAGAGACATATTTTTCCACATTAAATTTAAATTATATTTTTACTTTCATAGGGCCTTAAGATAAGGAAATTATAAACATATTCCTGAAATCCTTTATAAATATATTCTTATGCAAAAATTTATTGCATAACATTTCAGGAAATTAAATAGTTAAGCAGTTTGCTGAATTTTCTCTGTGTGAAATCAAAACATTATGCACTTAACATAACTATTTTTAATACACAAAAGGGCCTGTATTATTTTGATGCATTTTCTGTTTTTAAATCAATAAATACATTGACATACACAAAAATGTACTTAAAAGTATAGGTCTATTAAACATTTTCCTTTATTAATTTCACAAATAAAAAAAAAGTGATATCACCTGTCTTCCTCTAAGGTCTTCATTTATTGTATAGTAAAAATTTAAATTTTCTTCATTAATTTTATTGTAAAATGTTATGCCAAATGTTAAGATTAACCTCAATAATTTGCGGCCTTGTTTTGAAAAGAATCTAACAAATTTGTGAAAATTGAATTTTCAATCAGAAATCACAAAGTTATATATGTCCTAAATGAATTTTACTGTCATCAGTTGAAAAATGAACAAACTAGCAGTGTGACCTAGTATAATTATAATATTCAAAATGATATTAATAAGTGGTACAATTAAATCATCAGCTAATGTAAATATAAGTTCACTGCTTAGAGGTATTGTACTAACGAAATTGTTACTATAAGTAATAAAATATTCATACTAAAGTAAATTGTATCTTTGAAGCTCTGGTTCTTAAAATTATAGTAAATGCAGTTGAAACTTTTTCAATAAACCAAGGCCACGAAATGACATTGAAACAATCGGACTTTGAAAATTGCAATTTAATTTTTAAAATTGAAATTTATTTTAAATCATTTTACTTATTGTTTTACTGAAATTTCCTATTGCCGTATCATTATTTATTAAAGATTTTAGTGAACTTTATTTCTGTATGTCACTAAACTCTAAATAGTTTTTCAAACATTCTTTTACAAATGCTTGTCCGTTTTTTTAGAATGCAATAGGACAGATAAATATGAGGGATGCTCGAGTGCAGCAAGTAGAGCATGTTTCTGACAGCGATAGCGAAGACAGAGATACAGACACGGCACAGCTCACTATCGGAATTTTTCCTAATCACCAACCACCAACCTATTTGCTCATGCCAAACAGGCAAGATAATGTAAGTGTTTAATTTTAAACTGAATATTTTAACCGATTTAGAATATTTTATAACTTTTAAAAGATCTATTTCATATAAATCTTTATCTCAAACTCAATATTGTAAGTATTATATTTATATTTATTCAAATGTTATCCATATTAGAAAGTAGGGCAAGGGTGTTATACTCCAATTTATAATCACTGCCCCATTATATTATTTTTCATTAATATTACCATGTTTTTTATCAATTTATTTATAAACCTTCTCTTATATTAGGTTTCTGAGAATGGAAGCTATTTAAATTTATGCCATATTCTCCATATAATTCTTTACTTTTCTACGAATTACAATCATTATATTCCAGAGCGCGGCTCCTTGTGTCAGAAAAAAGCAATTTCATTCATTTGTCTGTTTGGGTCATTACTTCTTGAATGGATGTACTGATTTTGTTTTTTGTTTTTTTTTGTGGTTTTTTTATGTCTGTGAACCAAATCGAGTATTGCCCTATTAAATTTTGTACCCACTATTTACTTATTACGTAATAGAGACCTGTTGATTTTTTTTTTTTTTTCAAATAATCTAAATTCTAAACAACTCCATGAACATTCCAGATGCTTATTTGTATGATGATTAAATTGTCTACAAATTCTTTAAACGAAAAGTATTTAAATAAATAATAAAATTCCAATATTACCGAACCTGAAAATTTATTGAATTTTATATCCAAAATGGTTAGAAAAGTCTTATGTGGGATTTATACACCAGATATTTTCATATATAATTTGAATGCATGCTAACATATTTAGGGACTGTTCATATTTTATTTTATACAGTTTACTGTTTCCTAAAAATACAATGTTTAATCTTCATGATACCTTTTAATTTTTTTTTAAGATGAAAACTTCTTTTGCACTTTTTACACTTTTTTTTGGAGAGTGAATTAGATTGAGCCGTCAGATCTTTGATGTTTAACGCTTGGGTAAAGTCCGCTGGAGTAGACTAATTGAAGTGTTTTTGCATATGAATTAAAATATCTCAAAAACTAAAAATCGGTCCTGCTGTAAGCTAGGGAATTTTTCGGCTTTTCATCCTCTCTGTAGTGGGCTATTATTCAAAATTATATCTTAATATGATGCCATGTTAGAGAGGCAAAAAGAAAAATTTAGTGTCAAAAACCAAATGATAACGAGTTTTATAGAAGATATGGATTAAAATATCTCAGAAATTGAAAATCGGACCTGCATACTATAAATGAGGGGAAATGTTCAGCATTTCATCCTCTTTATTAAGAGCTATTATTTATAAATTATGTTTCATATTATTAATCTTCCCTTATTGATGGTTTCACTTCTATCGTGTGTTCTAAAGAACACACCTTAGTTTTTCTATTTATGTTTTGTTTGCTTGTTTTTTTTTACCTTTTTCCAAACTGTAAGGTGTACCATGAATCATGTTGTTGTTGTCCTTAAAATTGTTGATTTAGAAAATTATTTCTTTGGTATAGATTACATTATTGTTCATTATGTTAAGCCAAATTCCCCCCTGCAGCTTATATATAATATAAGCATGAATCTTGAAATTTAAATTTAGAATATAATATTTAATTCTATTAAATTTTATTGATGCCTTATTATAAATATATACTGTTTGAAAAAGAAAATATATTTTATTATAATTATGATTTTGATTTTATAGGATTCATGGCTGTATCACCTCACAGTAGTCTCAGGTGCTGGGCCTAATGCCGGAACACAATATGAACAGCTAGTCCAAAAACTGATGGAAGTTGAAGGTGATCCAAGTAAGTATTTTTGATTTTTTATATTCATGTAATTAAAGATTGACTTTTCATAATATGTTCTTCCTTATTATTATTTTCACTTTTATAAGCTTAACTTCATGTGCTTTAAATAAGACTATATTATAAAAAAAATCTAATTAGAAAATGCTAATTTAATTTTTTAGTATTAGTTCATTCAGACATCTTATTCATATAAGAATTACAATATATACATTAATTCACTGTATTGGTCATGTGAGGAAAAGTATAGATATGAATATTTCTTACAAAATATTATTAATATTCATAAATATTGTGTTCACAGACTGTGTTCTTTGGAGGCACCCTCTGTTACTGCATAGTAAAGAAACAATCAGCACGCCTTTAACAACTTTATCTTCTGAAGCCCTACAATCTGAAGCTATAAAACTATTTAAGGTATTTGTTTTTATTATTCATGAAATTTACAACTGTATAAAAATAAATATACATCCAATAAATGTGATAAATAGAAATGCAATTCCATGAAAAGACTTGTAGAGAATCGACCCATTGGCACTCTAATAAAGTATCTAACTTAGAAGATCAGGAGGCCATCTTGTTTCCAGATACCTAGAGGGGTTATTAGGGATGAAAGAGGAAGCAAGGTTAGAAACGGGAGGATTAGGATGTTTCTGAAGTTTATTATAGAAGGATAGGTGTCTGGATTGGAACGCATCCGGACTGTAGGACAGGAAGACATAGGTTTACGATGAAGGATAAAGGTAATTTGGTGGGATTTATTGGAATTTGTTTTAATTATCTAGTTTTATCACCATTCTTCATGGTTTTAAAGATGATGTGGGATTAAAGAGTTTGGGACGCAATTGATGGGTGATTATTAACTGATAGGACGCATGTGTCATCAGCATAGGTTGTAAGGACAGTGTTGGGATGTCAGCTGTATATGCTGTGTAAAGGTTAGGACCTAGGATACTAATTTGAGGAACATAGACAGACAGAGAAAAAAGGGATGAATAGGCATTGCTGTGATTTACTTTGAAGTATCTATCAGTAACGTAGGAATGAATAATGACCCCGTAGTTCCGGGTGCCAGATTCTATCAAAAGCCTTTAAGGTATTTAAATATGAAAATTGTAAGGATTTTTAAACCTATTTAATTTTTAGTAGTAAAATAAAAATAAATATTTTAGCCTACTAGGTTTCCAAATAAAATCATAATTTCATGTACACAATATAATTTAACATGTAACGTTGATAATAAAAATATACTCAATTGTTACCAATTGGAAGTTATTATTGCCAAACAACTAAAATAATTTATTAAATTAAATCATGTTATTAAAAAAAAAAAATCAAATATGAATGCTGAGGAAATTTAAACTTTTCAGATGATAAAAAGAGTAGATTGATTTATTTTTGTGGAATCGATTTATTTTTTATACATGATTTGTTTTGTTTTTTACTGATAAAAAAAAAAAAAAGAAAAATTAAATTTGAAATTAAAAGTTACTGGTTTACTTCTACAAAGTCTTCTTTCTTCAAGAACCCGGTAATTCAAATGTGAAGCATGTTGTGTAACACTTCATGACTGAAGCTATCTTAACTCAATTAAGCAGAGGAGCCCATCCTTCCCCAAGGTCAATAATGCTAGAACCTCCCCCCAAGATATTTTATTGCTCCCCTCTTCTTAAAAATAGTACAAGCGAAAGTAGAAAAAAAATCTAAACCATATATAGTAACACTTGCAGCAGTCTGTTTCATGTTTTCTCTTTATCTTCTTTTCATTCCAAAAATTCATAACCCTGAAGAAATGAGTCCCCCTCAAAAAGTGACAATCCCGTCAAAATGTGTCTCCCCAAAAAGTTTGATGGCGGAACTTGCACCATGATACCATCCTCTGCGAACCCCTGCAATTAAAACTACTTGACTATGACCTACTCCTAGGTACACCAAATATGCCAAAATAGTCCTTAATTGTTAATTATTTTAATGCAGTTTCCATTTAAATTATTTTTTTAATATAACTTCAAATTTTCAGTTCCTAACATCCATATGCACTTGTTTGATGAAAAACTTTTTTATAAAAATTATTACTCTTTCCTATTTTATTAGTTAATCTTAAGTATTCTAAATTAATATATAAGGATTTAAACATGTATGTTGCTTACAATATTTTAGAGTTGTCAGCTGTTCACATCTGTAGCTGTCGAATCAGCTGGTATCGATTACCATGTGGTATTAGCACAGAATGCTTTACAGCAAGCTCTTGACCAATGGGAACTTCAGGCTGAACTCATCTGTGCCCTTGTGAAACAAACATCCAAACACTCCCCTTCGAAAACAGGCGTACAGGTATTCGCCAAATTGAGGCATCGTGTAAGTCCCGCATGGCTATATTCTTTTATTTTATTTTTTTTAATTTCCGCTTTATTGACTAAGACACGATAAGTTACATAAAAGAAATGTTTTGTTCTGAATTGATTCAGATTTAATTTGTCTGATTGGTAGAAATTATCAGTATTTATTATATTTACAAGAATCATGAATATTTAATTTTGAATTATGTTAATAAGAAATATTTTAAACTTAAAATAGTTTGAAAATAAAATTTCAAGTCTTGTAATAGATTTAATTAATTTATCAAACATTAGTCAAAGAAATAAAGATCAAGAATTATATAATTAGTGAATTTCATGAAAACCTTGTGATTCCTAAAGTTATCAATAATTTATTTTTTGGATACTTTATGTTTTAAGTATGGTTCCTCAGCAACTATGAAATCAGTTTGCCATTTTTGTTTCATAAACAATTTTATTTACTTGTCTTAGTCAATTTTATGTATATAATTGTCCTAATATTTCAGGAGCTATTTTGTTTTAATTGATAATGACAACTTTAAAAGGTTTCTTATTTATACTGACTAAAGTGGTGACATTAGAAAATAATAAACCAAAAATGAGGAAAATTGATTTATTTATTGTTCATGAGGATTGTTGAACTATAAAGATTTTATTAGTCCCTTGCTTTCCTAGGTATATTTTGATTATAGCAAACTATAATCATTGTCATAATGAATAATTTATGAATACCATGAAAAACTGTTCTTTGGTGAACCTATTTTTGTATGTTTTCATAAGAACTGAAGCTCCTCTAAGTAAGTGCATGCCCTATTTTAGCAGCTCGTAATATATCCCACACATATTTGAGGTGACTAGATTTTAACATTGGTAAAGCTATGGTGGGAAGGGGGGAGGGAAGCATTGCCCAAATTTTTTGCCACAATAATTTATTTCACATGATGATAATCTGGTGAAAACGTTAATCAAGTGACACAGTATTCAGCAGAAATAAGGTAGAGAATTAAGTTCTGATGACATATATTTGAGAGCTAATAATTTGATGGTTTGTTTGACGTCTAATTTATGATTTAGCTGTTTTGTACCAGCAGCTTGTACTCAATCAAGCAGCTCATTTTCAATATTCTATAAAATTTATTGAAGATAACAAAAAGTAGCAAATGAGTTTAATTTGCTGATACTCAAAATTTAATCTTTTCCTTATCAATATATTTTTTTAATAACGATACATTATTAAAATGATCATTTTTGTGCTTTTTATTAAGTCCAAACAATGTCGGTTAAATTCTACTAAGTGATCAACAATGCAAATTTTACTAAGCAGTTCTCGATAATCAGCTCTCAACAATTTTTATTAAATTTTAACATAAACAAAAATAGTATAATCCTCATATCCTGGCAAAATAGCCATATGACTGCCAAAAACCGTATATTCTCTTCCCATTCTCCTGGCGTTCCCTAGCTTTTCATGCATTCTTTTTAAAAATCAGAGGCTTTTTTTAAATGCTGTGTGACGTGAAACAAATTCTTAAAGATCGGGACTGTTCTGCCAAAAATGGGATGTCTGTTGACCTTACCCAGGTTCCATGTTCTTCATTCTCATGTCTAAATCGCCACTTTTGAATTTTTTAAATTTCTCAAAGAACTGTGATTTACGAAGATCGTGCACACCATAAGCTTCGAGAAGCATTCGATCCGATTCTGTATCAGAGTTCCTTAAATGATGTCAGAAAACTAATGCTGTCCTCAAATCGTGGTTTGTTGGGGCAAAACTCGACATGCTCAACTCTATTAAAGTGATGCTGTTATTTGAATCTTGTATTTTTGTGAATTGAAAATCTTTGTCAACTGATGAAACTAAATGGTGCTAATAATGTGGTTTAACATTAACAACTAGGGCCCTCTATGGAGAAATTCTGGTTTTGTATTTACATACCTGGTATTACTTGAGTATTGAGTAAAAAATCTGGTTACAATGTTTTTTAAGAAGGAGTCCAATGAAGAATAACTTATTTATTAGTTTCATTAATTCTTTCCATTACCACCATTGAAATATCAAATTTATACTTCAGGGATTCAAGCTCTAATTTCTAGGTTATTTAGTTATTAAAGTAGAAGCACTGAAAATATTAAGCAACTCCTATGAAATAAATTAAAAGTTACGTTAGCTTAATTTACTATTAAAGTTGGCATTATCAAAAAACGTTCTGCGGCACATATCAATGCACTATTCTACATACCTGTTTTTTTTTTAAGTTTCTGCAGATTAATTTAAGCATTCCTAATTGTTATTTGAGTTTGCTTATCGCAAATCAGAATGCTTTATTACCTGCACAGAGCAATGTTATTTTATAATTATATTATTTTTTATTATTTATTAATTTTATTTGTGCTATGTACCATCCGTACAGAACACAAAGTATTTTATTTTTGCCTTGATAGCTGAATGTCGGTGTCTAGAGTTTTAGCCTCATAGTTAGGGTCTTTAAAATTTTATTTTTACGAAAGCTGGGGTGTTTTATTTTTATTTGCATGTCTAGAACCTTTTAATTTGTGGAACTCAGTTTTTGTTTTATTTTTTAATTAGAAAGAAAAAATCAAGCATCCCAAACAGCATGATATTCCAGGTTCTTTTTCTTCTCTTTTCTGTTTTCTGAAAATTTTTTGTTTATAATATTTTTATTAAAGCATATCACTTTAGAATCATAACTATTTCTCACTTTTTTGATTTAATAATTTTTTTTTATTACTTCATATACATTTGTTTTAAATATTTTAATTGTACTGTGTAAAATAGTGGTTCCCAGTGTTGGACCAGTTGTGGGTGGGTAGCAAAAATTTTTAATATTTATTGAATCGAAATTCAGTAAACTGGAAATCAAAATTTAACATATTTTTGTGAGTTGTTTTATCTACAATACTTTTGAGTTTCATTTTTATAATTTTTCTCTCTCATTATTCCATCAGCTTAAAACTAACTAATCCATTAGATTGAGATTGTCTTTTATAACTTTGTAGATGCGCTGTATATATAAGCTATACTTACTCAACAGTTCAGCTTACATTATATGTTTTTTGAACTTACACATCGTAATTTTTTTTTTCTACGATAGATTAACATTTATTTTGAATATTGGTGATGAATTTTAAATAGTTTTTATCTATTATACGATGAAAACCAAACTTACTATACTGTATAATATTGAATTTATTATCTGAACAATTGTTATCTTAGGTTCATGTTCAAATATTTATTTAATTATTCTTTTAGTCATTTAGTTTAGTTCAGGCATAAACAAAGTGCTGTTCTGGAAAGTTTGCATAAAAGATGAATAGAATTATTATTTTTACAGCTTTTGAAGGAATTTTTCTCCAAAAAAAGTTAAACGTTTACTCTTAATGTGTGTTCCTGGCACTTAGGAATATAAGATAATGAGAAAGTAGATAGCCGTGCTAGGAAGGGCATAGAAGAGGTTCCTTTAGCACCAAAGGCCGTGTTTGGTATCTGCCTCAACTATGCCTAAAGATGTGCCAAATGGGCTAACGCATATACACAACACCGCACGTTGCCCAGCAACCTGATAATCATTTACAGACAATCATGACAAAATTAAGTAACAGTCAATAACATAATTATGAGTTCACGTCCCGGTGGACCTTTTAACTCTGTCATTAATCCCTCTTCCTCACCCACTGGCCTAGAAAAAACCCCTATAGCCTAAAAGGCGAGAAAGAAGAGAAGAAAAAAGAAAAAAAAAGTTCATGAAATTTGGCATTGTTTAATTGTCTAAATTCTCCGGTTGATTCATCCTTTTTTGGTCTCAATATTCTGTGCAGTACTTTCTTGTTAAAAAACTTAAGTTTTTCAGAAGAAGTTAGAGGGGGGTGCAGTCAAAAAATACAATATTATATAATAGTATATTTATTACATTGTCCAACATTTCAACTTACAACCTAGGCTGCACCCCCGACTAACTTCTTCTGAAATTAGAATCTATGGTCAATCATGTCTATACCATTAAAAACCTTAAGGCATTGCTCATCCCTAAGCGACTATATTTTACATCTATAAAGAACAGTAGATAAGATAATGCCTATGCTGTGTATTAATACCAGATTTAAAAGAAAAATTAAAGTTGTTAACAGCTAATGAAGTTATTACATACGGAAAAATTAAAATTCCCTATCCAAACATTCAGAAATAAAATTAATTACTTAATTTCTACTTTTATTTCTAGTTTTTTTTTTTTTTAATTTCTACATTGATATTTTATTAATTAAAATCATAACAAACAAGTTATTATGAAAAAATATTAAGAATATCTTAGAAAGTGAAGAAAAAGAATCCTTGGTATTATGAAATGCGAATGAAATAGATAGGCAGTAGGATAGAAGATAGATTAGTGAGGCTAATGTTAAGGGGCTGCGATAGACACCGATGTTTCAGCAACTCCTGTTGTGCGCCACACAGTCGCTGTTTGCTTGTGATGCTGCCGGGTCGCCGACAACAACAGTCAGCTCTGGATCTGGTTGCCCTCTTCCGCCAGTTCCTCCACCCCCAGAAACCTGCAAAGCCAACCCTCCTCAGTTCGCCCTCGTACAGGCCTGGCAACTGCTCGCACTTGCTGTATCCCTGTTTGTACCAAAGAACAATAAGCTACTCTGGTATCTTAAACTTCACCTCCAGAGGAACACTGACACAAAGTAAGTTGTGTATTTCATTTTTTTTTTTTTTTATTATCAAATTATGTTTTTATTCCTTTTTCAAATAAGTTATTAATACATTAAGAATTATATCCCCTTTAAAAGATTCCAACCTGTTATAAACTAATTATTTCTTCTGAATTTGAAACTAATTAAATTTTGTTAAAAATTTACTTTACACGTTTGCATCAGAAAATCATTTTTTTATTGAGCAAAAACAATCATTTCTTAATTTTTAATATTTCATACTTTAATTTTTTGTTGTCATATTGACTTATACTATAATATTTATTTTATATAATTAACTTATTTAATATTTTAATTGATTTAAGTAACTTCAGTGCTTTCACGAAAATAGGTCCCTGAGACTCATACAACACATATTGCCACATTTTACCAGTTCACAGATTGGTAGAAGCACCATAAAAACATATTATAGGATGATTTTGATAATCGGAACACTTAGCCTGTTCTTATTATTGAAATGTTCAAATTATCTAAGGTTAAATTTAAAATGATGGAAAAGTAACACAAGATAATGGAAATATATATATTATCAATTAAACATAAAAACATTTTTTATAAAAATGATTATATGAGCCTTTCAGTTGACAGAATGACTAACTCCAACTTCAACATTTTGGAGTAAAGTCATTTTAGCGCTATTTCTGATTGGACAATTTATAAAATCTGTACAGACAGTGAGTAAGTTGATTCCAGAGTAGGTGATTGCAGTGTTGAAATATAGAACTGTGAACAAAGGTATACATTTTTTCCACCAGAAATATCACTAATATTAATAATAAAAAATGTTGAAATTGGAGTTATTCATTCTGTCAACTGAAAGTCTAATATAATGTAAGTTGGGTTATGATTTTGTTGCTAAAGAAAATGCCCCATCTCGCAAATTCCTTGAAAGAACGAAGCTGCAGTAGTTGACAATGTATCTATTCGCTCACTCCAAGCAAATATTAAATGCTTTGATGGCCTTTCTGTGACTCGTCTATAATAAAAATAAAAGGGGTGCAAAGAAATTTCCTAGTGAAATAAAAAATAATATAAAAAAACGTATTCCATAACTGCTTTCGAAATTATCAAACCAACCTTACTGGTATTAAAATCTGCTTTGCCATCCTTTTAAAAAAAAATATGAAAGAAAAGATTTGACTTTTCAGCTAATATATTACCGGAATATAGGACACCCTCGTGATCTAACCACTTGTAAAACTTGTAACACGTGTAAAAACCACTAATAAAGATATTCCTCATAATTTGATCAGAAATTCAAGATAAAGGTGGCCTTCAAAAATATTGGGGACTTTTGTCTATAAAATATATATTTTCAAATTTTGTCATTTACAACGTTTTGGAAATGCACAATTCATATATTGTTTTTAGATGGATGGGAAAATGATAAAACAACATTAAAATCTGCTTTGCCATCCTTTTAAAAAAAATTATGAAACATTTTCATTCCATTTTTCGTCAGTTAACTTAAACTTTTTTATCCTTCTTGTTCAGATTACCAGGGGTTTCAGATTATTGAGACCATCCTGTATATCATTAGAGAATAACTATTCAAATAATATAAGGAACCTTAAAAGATTAAATGTACTTTGGACCTAAATCAAATTATTTGAGTAGGAGAAATAAATTATTTCCTCTTTTTCTACTAAATAACCTTTTAACATATTGATATTTTTGTATGTGTTGTATTACTTCACTGTCTATTTTATTTCTAGAACTGAATGTGGAAAATATGCGGCCTACTGTGAGCGTGCCTTAGAAAGAACGATTAGAAATGGTTGCCGAGAAGCAAAACCTTCGCGGATGGAAGTACTCTCTATCCTTCTTAAAAATCCATATCACCACTCATTGCCTCACTCTATTCCTGTCCACTTTCTCAACGGCACCTACCAGGTTGGTTATTTAATGTTTAATTTTTTTTTTTTTTATTAATTAATAATTGAATAAAACTAACCGATTTTTTAATATCAGGTTGTAGGTTTTGATGGTTCATCAACAATCGAAGAATTTATGGTTACCTTATCGCAAGAAATTGGAACTCGGGATTCTTCTGTATCCGGTTTCACTCTGTTCAGTGATGATCCAATTGAAAAAGATTTAGAGCATTATATTGACCCCCAATCAAAGGTATTATAAGACTTTTTTTTGTAAACTTTTATTATTTTCCAAATTACTGTTTATATTTTTTATAATTTATATCAAGAAACAGTTATTTTATTACTTATTTTTCTGAAGTGATATAACTCTTACTTTAATCAACCTCAGCTGAATTATCCATCTATCTATGATTGAAATCTACTGCACATTGCTGAATCTTCATCATGGCTTATAAATTTTCTGAGTAAATTTCTACAGTCTCATCAAAACAGGACCTTCTCCAGAGCCTTTGCCAGTTTCAGCCGCAGCTTTCCAGTTTTTAATAGAGCATTCATGTGTTATTTTTATATACTGTCTAACAACTGAACTTTAGGTCTTCCAATTCTGCTTGTATTGTGAAGCTCTGAAAAACGTTAATGGAATTTCACTGGTGTCTATCATATACAAGTGGCCTGTCCACAATGGCCTTCTAATTTAAAAAAAAAAGTCATTGTCACGGTAAAAGTTGTAGAGTTCCTAATTCCTGTGTCTCTATCACCTATCACTCTCCTTAACCTTAACCCTTTGACTGTGGGAGCTCATTCACGTGTTTTTACCAGATGGTGCATCCTGAAATCCAAAAAGACGTCCAGAAAAAGAGATTTTTTTTTGTTTGCATAAATTTGTTTTAAATGCTATTTTGAGTCAACCTGCAAGGTCTTATCTTTTAAAAATGCATTTTTACCTTTTTAATAAACGGGACATATGCCTTCCCGGTCGCACATAGAAATGTAAAATTAGAGCAGCTATCCCGCAACACCTCGTGTATTTGCTGATTTCTGAAAAGCAAAATAACTGAAAATTATCATTAAAATGACTGTAAGTGGTCATAAAAATTATATTATATTATTTCTAAATGAAGGACACTGATGGCGGGATTCGAATTATATGTTTTTTGTATTTAAATAAATTTCTTTCTTACCTAAAAAAGATCCGTATTGAAACATAGCACAGTTATAAATTTTATTATTGCATTTTGAGTTTCAAACACTTTTTTATTATATGAAATATATATACATATATATATATATATATATATATATATATATATATATATATATATATATATATATATAATGAGTAACATACCTCATATATTTTACAAATAATAATAATATAACCTCGTGGCAGACCACTTTATACCATTGGGATACTTCATAAATAAATAACAGGTTATTAAATAATAAAAAAAATTATAAGAGCATTAATATATTTATTTATCTCTGGTATGAGTTACTGACAATCAGATCAACTCAGACAAATTATTATTTACATTATTTATACTAAAATTAAACACTGATTTTATAATAAAATCAAGTATGGATTGGTAAGCTAACCTTTTTTCTATAGATACTATTTCTTCCTTTGTTGAACTAAATTCATTTGTCTTCAAAAGCTTTCCAATGTTCTGCCAAACTCAACATCCAAGGTGGTAATACTATTACTGAGTTTTCCCACTGAAGCCAGAATAATTTCTCCTATCCTCTCTTCACTGCAGCCACATAACTACTCGCCAAAACAAAAAGCTTAGTCACTCTCCTCTTAGGGATTTTCCTTCTTGGGAAACTACAGAGCAGCTATTTTCTTTTCTCTGCACTAGTAGAACTAGATTAGCTTGCCTTTTAATTGTTTAACATTAATTTATTAAACTCTTTTTACCCACTTCCAATAAAGGTGTACATTACAATATATATATATTGTTTCTAGATGGATAGAAAATTGATAAAACAACTGAAGTATCATTTTAATTCTGTATATTTTTATATTTATTAATTTTTACTATTACATTTTAATTTTTGTATATCTTTCAGCTCTGTGACGTGATTTCAAAATGGGAAACTGCTCTGAGGCAGAAAGGCTCAGGGAAATTCGAGAACACAAGGGTCATACAACTGGTCTACAAGAGCCGGCTCTATTGGAGAAGTTCACTGAGGACTGAGACCGACCGAGAGAGGTTGTTGCTATGTTACCAAACCAACCAGCAAGTCGTCCAGGGCAGATTTCCTGTCAACAAGGAACTTGCCCTTGAATTAGCAGCCCTCATGGCACAAGTGAGTCTTACTTCCTTCACTCTTTAAATAGCGTTAATTATTATTAAATATTAAATAACACGGAATTAAAATTTGTATCAAAAGGTTTCAGAGTATAATTTCAGTATAATATTCTAAATAGTGTTGGATTGACTTCAGTTTTTTAAATAAAGGCACCAATTGCTGACACTTTTAACATTTTCTTTTTCAATTTTTCTCAATAACGTTTTTATAAATTAGCTTATCATAATATTTCAAAGTTTTTTCTTCTGTTCTGAGTCTTCTTTAAAGGCTCCACTTATAATTTTGTCAAAACATTATGATATTTCTATTTTTTTATCTGAAAATTTATGACAATTTCATGCTAAAATTTATGACAATATCTAAAAACTTAGCATTTCTACTCAATTTAAAAAACCGAGTAGATTCTCATTAGAATTCATATTATATGTTTTTGTTTTATTTTGAACACAAATTTTCCAGAATTAGAATGTTTATTGCAAAAAGTCACCAAGTACATATTTGATACAGGTTAACTTTCAAATATTTTTTTGTGAATTTTGACCTTGTTTATCAATACAAAAACATCATAAGTAAATGAAAATTGTTCAAATCCTGTTATTTATTGTAAATAGTTACACTAAGTATATAATTTTCTGATTTTACGAAGGGAAAATTCATCCAAGTTCATAATTATTTGAGGTTATCAAATGTCACTTAATGACTTTTTCCAATAAACCAATGGTATGTTCTATTTTTGATATTATTTTTATTTTCTATCTGGATAAATCTATGTGGGACCTCCTGATATTTCCCTAAGTATTTAGTTGTTTTTTAAATTCATAAAATAAACATATTTTTGTACGACTCTCTCACATAAGTTTATAGCATAGGTCTAAAAATAATTTATGATTTTTTTTTAGAATTTTATTATGGCTTGTAGTTAAAAAAAAAAACAAAAAAAAACTTTATTCGGATTGACACGTTCTGGGAGAATGGCCCATATACTGATATTCCTCCATCACATTTTCTATATTGATTTTATTTCATTGCTGCTGATTTGCTTGGTCATTTACTAAATTCTTTATGGATAGTTTTTAATTAATTGATTAATGTATGATTTATTTTTTATCAGATTGATTTCGGTGAATATCATGCTGACAAAGGCCGAGGCAGTGGTGGAGGAATGCGAGACCTTCAGGTGATCCAGGCCCTTGACAAATTCTACCCTTATAGATATAGAGATATGCTGACTCCTGATCTTCTCAAGTAAGGACCGTATTTATTATTCTATTTATTTCCAATGATATGTGATAAATGTTTATTATTAAATTTTTAAAAAAAATATATATCAGAGTTAATTGATAGTCTCCAATGAATTGAGTTTATATTTTGAAATCCTATTCAATTATTATTTTATCTAATAAACTTGTGTGAGGACTCTTGCATTAGATATCTATTAACTCTATGTATAATAGGTAAGATCCCTATTAAGATTTTTGGCTCTCAGGTCCAATAGATTTTGGTTTATGAGATATCAAACGAAAGTGAATTTCATTGAGAAGTGATAAATGCCAATTTCAAAAGTAAAATCTTTACAACTACAACTGCAGTAAAAGTCATTGAAAATATTGAGAAGTTTCAAAACTCAGGTGGTTTCAAAAGTCGACAAATCGAAATGGGATAAGCTGTGTTTTAAAGATTTTGAAGCAGACCTCAAGACCTGGTATAGTTCTGAAGAAATTATCAGACCCATGTTTTAATGCATTTTTGAGATAAACCATAATGCTAGCCAAAAATCTCTTTGATGCTATAGTTGCTATAGGATACTTATTAGATATTATTTGATCGACTGAAAAGTAATTGGAGGAGAAATGGAAGGTAGGGTGGCCAAACAGGCTAACACGTGTGCAAAATATCACTGCCTATCGACCTGATAAACCAAAGTTTATAATGGCTTTTAGCTCTTGCATTAATCCCACAGGAAAAACCTCCTATAGCCTAAAAGATAAAGAAAGGGTAGAAAATAAAAAAAATAATATAAAAACGAAAGAAAACAGGCTTTTAAACAAGTACAGGACATTGATGTCTTCCTGGAAGTTGTTTAAACTGACTTGTCTTTCTTAGTCTGTCAACTTACCACCATCATAAATTTTTCGATTACCTTTGTTTAATTTGTAATAAAAATTTTAAGGCTGAAATTGGAATTTGTCACTTCCCGTCATATTCCCTTTGGTTTGACAGCTCGTTTGTCAAAATCCATTATGAGTGTCAGTTAAACGATCTATACTATTTAATTTTATAATTATCTATGTTACATAAATATATTATAGATTTTTATAATCTTTCTTCAGGGAACTGCAGGCGGCACTTCAGGAAAAATGGATATCTCTGAAAGGACGAGGCCCACTTGATTGTGTGAGGATATACCTTACGTGCGTTAGGAAATGGCCTTATTTTGGAGCTAGTTTATTCCAAGCAAAGGTAGAATTTTTTTTTTATCTTTTTTCTGTTACTCCTTAGATTTTTCAAGTGAAATGGACTTAGAATTTTTTAGTAGCTTATTAAAATTAAATATTTGATAAATCTGTGTTAGGTAGATTTAATTTATCTCATAAATCATTATATAAATAGGCAAATGCAAAACAGTTTAATCTCTTTTTCTCCTCTGTTTATCAACCAATTTTCTTTTTTGTTTAATAGCTGTTGATGAGCTTTAGTGTTATCAATAAAAAAAAGTTTGGAAACGGTTTATATAAATAAAAATGTAAATGTTAGTTTATTCAAAACCACTAATCTCTAAATTTTTTTCACCCATTGCTTTGAAATTTTAAAATAACTTTGAAATCAAATTCATGAATGTTTTAATATACATTTCATTACCGTACGGTCTTTCATTTAAAAATGGTGACCAAAAAACATGTATCACTATAGGCTGTAGCACCAGAACGACTGTAACGATTTTAATGAAACTTCGCTCTCGTGAGGTTGCACCCTTCACACCAATTTTCTTTAACACTAATTATCTTTGTAAATATGCTTACAAAAATATGGGACTTTTTGTATTTTTATTATTATAACCTACTCTTTATTGACAAATCAAAATTTTAAATTCATGCACACACTCAATTGTAAGGAAAAAATAAAGTAAAGGATGATTTAGAAATCTTTATAATTATATATTTATAAATTCTAGAGGTTCTAGGTTTTGATAATTTTTCTTGCAAGTGTTTTTCAATTTTTTTTAAAATAAATTCATTTACAATAAATACACCCCCTCATCATATAGACCAATTATACTGCTCCCAATATGCTCTAAAATCTTTGAGATAATACTCCTATTTATCTTGACAATGCTGAAATTCTGCAAACAGATAAAATACAATACTTTGGACTGACATTCGACAGAAGAATGACCTCGGACTACAACTATTATACTCATTTCTTTCAAGACGTTCAAAATATTTAAGTGATATGTTAATTGTACAATTAATAAACCATTAAAAGAAAGTAAAATATCGTCAGTTTAAAATTAAAACAGAAACTTAACACCTATATTTATCTACTAAAGCCTGTATGGACCTACACTTCTCAAATATACAGAACAACCAAAACGACCCATATACGAAAACTACAAATCTTTCAGTCAAAAAGTTTTAGGACTATAACTAAAGCTCCATGGTACGTCACAAACATTACATTACATACAAATATAAACATGCCAACAGTTAATGACCATATACGGACACCTTAAAAATAATTTTACAATAACTTACATGGACATACTAACACACTGATACAAGAAATGGCATCGATTACCATGCCCGAAAACACCCTCCTGAGGCTCAAAAGAAGCTGGATGAGGGATTTCCTCAAGGAAGCCGCTGGGCACTCCTTTTCCGACACGTCGATCAAGCCACTATTAGTATTTTACTGACAGCAAACTCGCTAATTGTCACTACTTCTGGCAGATGTGGGTAAAAAAAATAAATTAAAAAAAAACTAACTCAATTTATCATTATATTGTTTTTTATATTTATTCATATCTTAAAATTTCTTTTAATATTATGTTCTTGAATTCTTTTTCCAATAATATTGAATATTACTATATGATTTTTCCAGGTAAAAGATAGCGAGTGGGGCTTGGTTTGGACCGCAGTGAGTGAGGACGCAATTAGCCTCTTGGAGCTGAGCACCATGCAGCCCCTGGCTAGGTTCCCATATCCTAGGGTCCTCACGTTCGGTGGCTGTCAGGAGGACTTCATGCTCGTAGTCAGCTCTGACCATGGTCTTGGCTCACAAAAACTATTATTCTCACTTTCAAAACCAAAGGTACTTAAAATATTATATTAATATATTTTTCCAATAGAATAACTCAATTTTGGTAATCGCTGAAATAATAATAAATGAAAAATATGGCAATTTAAATACTGTTTATTATTTCAATATTATTTCTGATTTTGGATGATAGATAAAATATTCAACCAAAATGTGTTGATGTTTGGACCCAATAAATGGGCTGAGTTAATATTAACTTCAGGAGGTGGGCTGGTTGAGCGGACTAACGCGTATGCACAGTATCAACTCGTTGCCAGGCAACATGATAACCGAAAATATATGGAATAAAAGAATTACGAGTTCGCATCTTGGTTTCAGTGCGGTTTTTAACTCTGGCTTTAATCCCCTTTCCTCATCCCTTGGCCCAGTAAAACTCCATTTAGCCTCAAAGGTGAGGAAGAGGAGAACAGAAACAAAAAGTTAATATTAACTGTTTTAAATCTTTTAATGTTCTCTTCACAGTTTACTTGTATTCCTATTTTTTCCCCCTTATATCATCACTAGTTCTTTTCAATATTTTCATTCTACAGGGTGAGAGAAAAAGCAGAAAGATGTTTCTTGGATGGATGTTTCGAAGCTGGTAACACTATTCTAAGCTTAAACATCTAAGATATCCAATGTTATGAGCTAGGTATTGGTATATCCTGACATAGCGGTGTTTCCACTTCTGTGTTAAAGCCCTATCTCCATCACTTTTTTTTAACCTTAATTGTCTTTGAAAATAGAAAAATTTGGGGCTTTTTGTGTTTTTATTGTTATAACGTAGTCTTCAACAACGAATACAAATTTAAAATTCGTGCTAGTACCCAATTCACTTTTTTTTTTATTATATATAAATGAGTATTGTTATTTCAACAGCATAACCAAATTGTGAGGTCATGATGGATGAGAGAATCAACGCTTCATAACTGTAGCTACCTCAAGTTTAGTGGTATGATTAAAATGAGGCCTGGGAAGGTTGAAATTTATTTCGTGACAGACTCATGGAATGAATCTTGACGTTTCCACTTTAGTTAGAATAGATTGGTTCTACCTGTAGAATACTCCAATCTCATAGAAATATCCAGTAGGGGATAAAAACACAACAACAGCTAAATAGTGTATAAGAAGTAGACTCTTATAACACTTTAATTTTTAATGCCCTATAGTTCGTTCCTTTAGTAGTCAGAAAACTTTTTATTCAAATTCCAGACACTTAGTTTTCATTCAAATAGTCCTCAGGTATTTTGAAAATCAAAATTAACAGAGGACTGTGTACTAGGGAATGGTAATTGAAATAGAATATTAATTTTAAAATGTTGCAATATCAGACAAAATCTCACCATTTTTACAGCAACATAGTCACTCAATGGCTAATTTTTTAAATGAAGAAATCATACAAAACACTCCACTGTTCATAAAGGTGCCTCTTCACACCATTTCTTATTTATTTATAATACCTGCCTTTCAGTTAAATGGATTTGCCAATCGTAGGACATCAAATAAGATGCATATTCCATGTCTCTTATCCGACATATTTGGTTATTAATAACAATAGTTGGATAATTACAAAACGTCATAAGTACATTTTTGGTGATGCTCAGCTTTTAAGTAAGTATTTTATTGATAAAAAAATACAATAAATGCTCTAAAATAATACTAATAAAATATGCAACAATTTCACAATAGGACAAATTCATCAAAGTTCCTTGTGATTTAAGATTATGACATGTCACTCAATGACTTTTTGCAATGAACTGACGATATTTTACTTTCTTTTAATGGTTAATTTCACTTGAATATTTTTGGAATCTCTCGAGGTCTTGACTCTGTTGTATACATTGTTCCTTCACATTATAATTTTCTTTTTGTTATATAATTTTGTCTCAAATTAATTCTCTGGCATCAATTGGATAGGAATATCTAGCTATAATTAGCTCATCCATTTCTTTTATGTCACAACTGAGCTTATACTGTAGAAGAGATGGGCCAGGTAATCATAGTTGGATTTCCTTTAATGTTAACATCAAGAAAGAGTAATCAATCGTCAAAAGATTTTCAACACCATCATTCAACGTGCTTATTAATGAATATCTATTTTTTTTTTCAGATTCTGGAGTTGACTTTACTCATAGCGGACTACATGAATGCGCTTGGACGGTCCGGAGGTACTCCCGCTGGCACATTAACCCGAACCACACAACCCGACATTTTGAAAGCAACACCAGACCATCAACTGGGCGATAAATCATGACATTAAAGGAACTACCTTATAACATTAACAAACTAATGCTTGTCAGCCAGGTGTAGTTGCTATATCGCGAACTAAGTAGGTTGTTCGTTCTTTAACTCAAAACTGTGTCATTTTATCAGATGATTTATTATTATTATTATTATTTGTTAAATTATGGCTTCATTGCATTGTAGTGCCAAAATTGTACAATTGTGTAATTCCAACCTTTCCATATTCTAATGGAAAAAATCTGCTAAGTTAACTAACTAGAGTATATCAAAGTGAATTCCTAGTTGTCAGTGAAACTTGAGATTTTGAAAACTAGCTATGTGAGTATAAATTTCTTTGTGGAACAGTCTCTAAAATTTGAGATTTTAGATTTTAAAGTCTTAAACGATCTTAATGGTACTAGTAATTGTTACATATATATATTAGTAAATATTCAGTAACTGAAGCCAAATGTGATATAGACTTTAGCTAGACAGAGGAAAAATTAAATATTTTTCTTTCTACCTCTCCTCTGTCAGTGAGAAATAAATTTAAAAAGCGATCTGTGGTTTTTTAAAAAAATATATATAAAACATTCAAATTGAATAATCAAATATAAATATCTTAAAAATAATTATCATGCAAACTGGCTAACAATGTTCTATTTAAATTTTGTTTATTCTCTCTTTCCAAAGAAAAGGTATTCTTCTGCCTGTTAGGCCAAAAATGCTATATTTTATGTAGCATATAACTGTGTACCTACCTATACGAAGCTAAACAAATATTTTTACAAATAACATATTTTAAGTGTTTTATAAATCCTTCCACTAACACTATTTATGATTACTGTGGAAATTAATTATATTATTAAAAGTGGAATTTCGCTCTTTTGATACAAATATTAATATTTTGCCTTTTAAGTTTGAATATATTTTTTTTTAACAAATTTAAATTTTATAAATTATAAATAAACCCACAAAGCTTTAAGGTTTTAGTATAAAGCAAATTTTTATTTTAACAAAAGGCTTTTAATGTTTTTCTTTAATAACATTTTCTAAAAAGAATTGAACCTAACACAGTGTAACTTACTATAATAATTGAAGGAATATTATCTCATAATTAACCTATACTAACTGTTTGAATTTTCTTTTTTGATTTAACTAACGCGTTTAATCAATGTTTTAGAAAGTTGATTTATTTTATATTTGGCACGGTGCTTTCTAAACAAACTGAAAAATTGTTCATTGCAACCTGTTAATAATATGTTGAACGCTTTAATATAAAATACATTTTTATTATTTATTCATTTGAAGTAATTGAAAATTAATTACATTTTAAACAATAATTGAGCAATAGGCAGTCGTATATTTGTTGGTTGTGATCTACCATTAGGTTGTGCGAAATTTGAAAAAAATTAAAAATTCTAAACCAAGTATATAGATTTTGGGCTTTTTATTGCAAAAACAAATTGAGGAGATTGTTTCCGACAACAAAATTAAAAATGGAATTTGTTTCTGATTGCCATATTTTCAATATTGATTTCTAAAATGTCAATTGGTTATACAACTAAGGCTCTGGTAACTACAATGTTGTTTCAGATTTAGCGGTTTATGTATTCAATGTGATAAAAATAATAGATTAGTTACCATACTTACAAATTTTTCTTCTTAATAATTTGCCTGGAGACCTTTTGGAAATCATCAAGCATATTTGTAATCTCATTATTTTTTTAGTTGATTTATTATTTTTTGTGATTTCTATAACTTTAGTTTTTAAAAAAAAAATCTTTGTTTTATTTGTTCATCGTTTTGCCCCTTTGATCCAAAGTATTTATTGTATTTTAGTTAAGTTAGAATTGTGTTTAAATGTTTAACGTATAATAAACATCACAAACAACCAGTACCTTTTCAAACATACCATTAATTATTAATTATGATTTGTTTTTGTTTTTTATTTATATGATGCTCGTATTGATGTCAGCTTATTACTGGAGCTAATACAAAGACTTAATAATGTTGGGCATAATTATTGTAAATTTATGGTTTATTAAATTGATATTTTGTAAATCTAGTCTATTATTGTATATAAATATAAATATATATATAAATATAATTTATAGTGTAAAATCTTTCATGGCTTTTAAAATATATATCGTCTGATTTTTTTAAAAGTGTAGACTTTATATTAGTTAACTAATGAAGAGTACTGTACACATTATTTTGATACAGTCTGTTAAAGATGAAATGTGTTTTTATACTCATTGGAAATACAGATAGTCATTCATTTTATGTCAAAATGTGTTTTATTTCAAATGTTTTTGTTGGTTTAAAAACCACCAAAATCATGTTCCAAATCACTCTAATAAAAAAAATAACATTTAAAAAAAAATCTTATTTTCTGATTATAATTCATCTTAATCCATGAAAGGTAGCGTTGGTAGAGGAGTGGGTTCAGGTAGTGTTTTCTATAACACCTGGTGACTTTATTTTGCTCTCAATGAAGTTAAATTACAGTGATATGGTAATATTATTTTTATTTTATATGTTATTTATGTATTTATAGCATTTTTTTTTAAATAATATAAATTAACTTTTGGATTTAAGTTGTGTTGAAAACACATTATTATTTTCAGACATTATTATTATTGTTATATAATAAGAAAAATTGGTTGGGAGTTGCAGTCATTGAGGTAAAAAAAAAAAAAAGATTTGTTTTCTTCGCGTCAACTTTTAAGCTTTAATCAGGGCTCCTTCTTCAAAAGATTTTGGACTAATAGCCCATTTTGGGTCCAGGTATTTTAACATAACGAGAGAGGTAAAACAAGGTGACAGTCTTAGCCCCTTGCTATTCATATTATATATGGACGAAGTAGCGGTAATCTGCAAAAGTCGAACTGACAGAACTTTCCTAAGGAGGAGAAATCTGCTTCTTATTGTAATCCAGATTTCTGTATATCCAAATGAAATTTTATTCTTTTCTAAGTCCATCGAGAAGTATAGAGTAGACAGTAATAGAATGGAATGGCAAGCTCCGTAGAAAAGAACTGCTTATCACTACTGGCAAAAGCTAAATCTTTCATGTAATAATGGTACAGGAAGATGTAACAGTGAACAAACGGAAGTAATTTTAGATTTTACCTATCCTGGAACAGTTAAGAAAGGGTCTGAGAAAGTAGTTTTAAAAATCCTGCACAGGATAAGTAAAGCAAACTTGGTTTACTAATTTTTTTTATTGTTATTGGATAACCCCCAACCCACCTCTTCTGGCTTGTTCTAGAGGTACAACTAAACTTATTCAAACCAGAGTGGGAGGGTCGAGTTTCATTCTGTGTGTCCGCCACAAAATAAAAGTCAACCACTCCCAGGGCGGATTCGAACTGGCATCGCTAGGCACAAGGATGCTAGACTGTGCAACGCTCCATTACACTCTGCCGCTACGACCTCAACTTGGTTTACTACCAGATTTGCCAAACCATTTGCAAGCAAGCGGTGGGGGAGAGATGTGAGCAAGAGCTGCACATCTTTAAGTTGGTGTAATTGCCTGTACTCCTACATGGAGCTGAAAGCTGGAAATTGTCAGATAAATAAGAGAGTAGAATTACATCTGCGGAAATGAGGTTTCTTGTTATAGAAAACAAGAAGAGACTGCACCTATAATGACAGGATCAGGAGTAGTCCTCTCAATGAAGGATGTACTAGAGGCTTGCCAGCTGAATTGGTTTGCCCATTAAATGGAAGAAGACCTAGATGCACTGAAAACTATGGATTATGTCTCTGACGGTAAAAGGCCTCGAGGCCAACCTTGGTTGTTGTAGTTGGAATACTTCGACTGTTTGTGCAAAGTAGAAGAAAAAGATCTCAGTCAAGCCAAGAACCTGACAAGAAAAAAAAAAAAAAATAATGCCAATCATGGTTAAATGCTTCACTATGTGATAATCTCTCCAGGGTAACAAAAAAGAAGAAGGTTCTTGTTGGAAATAAGAAATACAAACCAGCAAGAAAAGGACTGAAGAAAGGACACTTCAATATATAAGAATGATAGACCTTTAGAAAAGAGAAGAGAGTAAAATAACATAATGATATTTGCATGGACCATAGCTGGCCTCTTAAAAAAATAAACATGTAATTCAGTTGTAATTATTTCATATTTACTTCTTCATGCCTTAAGCATTATTATATAAAGTCGACAATTTATTCATTATTTAGTTATTAAATGAACTACATTTTGACAGAATGAGAAAGGATATAAAAATATTACATTTGAGAATAATAAAACATTTATTTACAGTCATTGAATGGACAATAAATAATTAACAAAAATATAATTTAAGTCTATAAATTATATACAGGCATTTTTCTGATTGTAAAAAAATAATCTCTTTTTAATTTCAACAGTCTTCAATTTCATTTGAGTTCTCATAAAAAGCTTTTTCTTATTAATAAATTCTAAGTCATCCCATTTCATTCCATTTAATAGTCAATTGAAGTACCCTTTTAGTCAAATTTTAACTTGTTTACATTCGGAACATGTCAAAAAATAGATTGCTTGTTTCATTTATTAAAATAATTAGAACAAGATCATTAAAAATCTATATTAAATTAATTATTTAATTTTTTGGGATATAAATACATTCCTTAGAAGCTGAAAAACTTAGTTTTACTTGTTAAATTGAAGTTAATATTAAAAAAACTACTCATACATTGTTTACTATTATTTTGAACAATCAAGATGTCTATTATTTATAATTATTTTGGTCCATTATTGTGAGCAGTGGAATGTCTAATAGTTGGCAGTGTTTGTACATTGAGCAATGAAAAGCTTTACATTTTAGTAAATATAGTTAAATGGCCATGTTCCGTTTTTGGTACAAATTTATATAAATCCTATAGATATTATACTCCAAGTTTGATTTTTTTTAAAAATATATTTATAAATAAAAGATGAATATGTGATTAACTAACCATTAATCATATATTCACTGATTTAGTTCTAATCTTTTTAAGTAGTAGCTGTTCAATTATTTTTTTTTAATTTCAGAAACACACATTGAAAAAAAACTAATCAAGTAAAGTATAGACATCAAGGGTATTCAATTGAACCATAATTTTTAGTAAGCAATACAAATTTCCGACAAAAAGAGGCTTGGTAATTTGTGAAGTTTTAGTAGATCAGAGACAGGGGTTTATCTGTAACAAATACAAAATATTTAAGTAATTTAAATATTTATAAAATGTTCTTATTAATAATAATAATTTTACATACTTTAAATAAAAAAGATATATTACAATAATTCTTACCATGTCATATTACTTTAACTAATCATATTATTTTTTATTAAAATAAAGTAATGGGTTCTCATCCTTTTTAAATATATTTTAATACCTTCCTTTGACGTACTATAGTTTCTTTTTAAAAGACTGAATAAAAAACTTATTAAATTATATTCAAGAATAGTAAGAAAAAAATGTTTTATACTTTAAAATAGAAAATATAGCAATAATTTTTTTAAAAGTATTGTTCTTAGAATATAGCTTTTACTTTTTTAATAATAAGTTTTAAAAAACCCCTACCAAAACCACCCATGAAAGGTACTTTGTTAGGAAATACTGTTTCAAGGCCGATGGTTGTGCATGGAGGTGATTGGGTAGGGATCACGCTCGACTATCATGTTTTCCATCTTGATTAATTATTTTATTTAGAATACTAATCTATACAGGGTGAGTATACACCAGAACGGTCTCCTGATCTCAGGGTTGATCCAGACACAAACCTGGACATCCTTGAGCATAGGTCAGTGCCTTGCCCACTGAGTTACTTTGCACCCTTTAATCGGTTAAAAAAATTGTGCTCAGAATCCACTCACGTTTTACATTTTGAGCATAAAGATCAATTTTGGTTGTAGTGATTTGCCTGTCAAATGGATTTAACTACAGACAACTAAGGAACCAAACTTGTTCCTTGTGTCCAAAACATAAACATAAGTGGGAATTGATTCTGAGAACATTTTTTTTTTAATTTTCATAAATTATTCCAAAATTTATAGCTATAGTTAGAAACCAGTAAAACTGTTATAACAAAAACTTTAATTAGAATTAATATGCTTAATGAACTCACTGAAGAACGGTCGGATAGGATGCTTGTTCCACAGGTAATTCCTCTTAATGTGGGAAAGATAACTGTTCCTGAGATAGGAGGGCAGGTGCTTCAGCGGGATGTAGGGGGTAGGTTTCCAGTTGATGTAGGACCACCACCAGGGATCACGGGTGATCCTGGATAAGGGCATGTGAGGGCTCGGTTCCAACAGATCCCTCAGTGGACGCAACCATTCTCCACTTCCCAAGTAGGTCGGCTTGCCTGAAAGTATAGATATAAATATTTAAAAGTTCATCATATTGATAGTTTAAAAAATCTTCCTGGTGGCAGTCAAGAAAAATAAAAACAAATTGTAAAAACTATCAATAGAAAGATGATGTTTCAATCCACAATACAAGTCTTTTTTACTAAAAGAACAATATACTACAAAAGTACAAGTATAAAGTACAGAACAGTCTTGATAATCCAAACATGTAGATTGTAAGGCCTGTTCAGATTATCAAAGGCTAAGTTTAAAATGATGGATCAAATTACTTTTACCCTGTGTCGCAAATCCATCACCTCCTGTCCTACAGTATCCTTTAATAATTCCCCACTTATCCCAGTTGAACAAATCCGTTACCTAGAACTCCACCTGGACAAACGACTCACTTGGAATCCTCATACAAAACTGAAACGACAAGAAACCACTCGACTTTTCCGACTACTCCAAGACTTTCTTGACAAATGCTCTAAGCTTTCAATCAATTACAAATGACTCACATATATGACACTAATAAGACCTATTTGGACTTACGGAATCAAGCTTTGCGGCTCCACTAAACCATTCCTCTCATATCCAATCCTTACAATCCAAAATCCTTCATAAAATCCTAAACGTTCCTTACTTTGTTGCAAATAAAATCATCTGAAAAGACCTTAATGTTCCATATGTTCCCAATTCGGCCCAATCCAGTTACCTATCCTTCCATAAGAAATTCCAGAACCATTCGAACCCTCTCATTCAAAGCTTGCTTTCTCCTCTACCCCTGATAACCCTCCGAGGCGTCTGGAAAGAAGGCAGCCTTGTGATTTTCTTGTGTAAATTTATTATTTGAGTGCTATCACTTTCTCAACAAGTAATTTCATGTTATTATATTCCTGAGTGCACATTAACTAGTTGTATTTTTTTTTTATAATACAGTTGTAGATATCAATGAGTAAAAAAAAAAAGTTTGAAAAATTGCACACATTATCGAAAATATATGTATTATCAGTTAAATATAAGTACATGCCTAACAAAAAAAATTTTCATGAAAATGATCATGTAATGTATGTTAGGCCTCCGAGATTGTTGCTAAAGAAAATGCCTGATCTAGCAAATTCATTAAAAGTACCAGGATTTGGTAATCGACATTGTATCCATTTGTCCACTCAATACAAGTATCAAATATTTTTATGGTATTCCTATTAATCGTCTAGAATTAAAAATAAGACGGGTGTTAAGAAATTTTAGTGTAATAAAAGTTAATATAAGAAACGTATCCGGTATCTGCTTTTGAAATTATCAAGCCAACCTTTACTGCCATTAAAATTAGCTTTGTCATCCTTCTTAAACAAATTATCAAAGATAAACTTTTATTTTTCATCTAATATATCTCCAGGTATGGAAAGACAACCTTGTGATCTCTGTGACAAAAACCACATATAAAGGATTCCTCAACTTTTGGATGACCACCTAGTTTTAATATTTTCCATTTAGAGACACATTACAATTTCTACACTCTACTGGGAAACAGCCATTTCCATTCCATCATTTGTCAGTCAACTTTAATTTTTTTTTCTTTCTTGTTCAGATTACCAAAGATTTTGGATTACTAAGGGTTTGAATTACTGTTTCGAGACTGTTCTGTATCTATGAATGTGTTTTAAATTGTTCAAGGCCTAAAAGTGCACATTTTTATCATGGATATAAAATAGAGTTAATATGAAGAAAAATTAATAAATTTAAAATAATTATAATTTTCAAGTGGTTTACATTTTTATACATTTTGAGAAATTAGCCTTATTATTAGAAATTAGCATTAGAAGGAATTAGCCTGATAGATATATCTGTGACTTCAATAAATAAGTAATTATTCAACTCATTAGAAAAATAAATTTTGTTCACCAAGAGTTGAAAACTTTTATTTTGTGTCAGACAATAAAATGGATTGAATACTGTTAACTAATTTTTTATTCAAACATTTATTATTATGGAGGCTATATATATTAAACTTACGAATTAAATCAAATGGTATTTAATAATTAGTTTTTTTTTTATTTGTTGCTGTACAACTGTTCTTTATTTTAAAGATAAAAGTATTGAAATTCACTAACCCGTGTACAGTTGTTAAAACGACTTCTACTTGTTCAAGTTTAAGGAGTATAGAACTCAAGAGAGTCTAATGGAATATTTTGGAAAAGATCCTAACAATTATCTTGACAAAATCATCTAAAAAATACATATAAACTTACCACTATAACCGTACAAAGGATATTTTCTTCCATCATCACCAATCTCATATTCACCTATAACATTTTAAAGATTTATTGGTAATTAATGTTAAATTAAATATTGAATTAAACATTTTCAAATTAACTTCAGTAGATGGTTATAATATGCAAGGCTTAAGTGATTAGCAAAGACACCATGCTCATTCCTCAAATTCTTTTTTTTTTATATATATAGTTTTAACTTTTTTTACTGAATACCATCTAAAAACTCTAAAATATACTGATACCAGTTATAGCTTCAGGTTATGATTATTAAAACATCACAGTATGTAGAAAATCTAAAAGGTAATTAAAAGTAACAGATCATGATTTAATTGATAGAAATGACTTTTAGAATACTAAATTTATTAATATAAATTTTATTAAGTTTCTTCTGAAAGGATTTGGTCCCCACCAGGGGTTTTAATACCTCACACTAAGAATCATATCAACAAATTACTTAGGAATCTGCCCTTCTTTTCGGTTCTTTAGACTTTTTCTAATTTGGTAAAAAAACAAAACAACCATTTTATTTATTTGGAATATTGTTAATCCAATACAGAGATGAGGTACTTGAAATTGATATGATAAATTTATGAAAATATAAAAAAAAAACCTTAATAATTCAATACATTATTTATTTATCCATTAATTTTGGATGTTTTAGAGGGAATGTAAATTTTCAAGAAAATTCTCTATTATTATTTCTATTTTTCAAATCTCATCTTTTGAATTTATTATTATACATATTTTTTTCTCCTTTAAAATATATATATAAGATTATTTTTTTAATGGAGACTTTTTTATTCTATTGCCATTTTTAAAAATACACCTTTTTTTGTTCCTCAATTAGAAACATTCTCACAATAAGATAATGTATTATATTAGAAACAAATCCTTTAAAAATAAAAATTAATTATCTTAACATAAACAAGAACTTTTACACAGTAAAAGCTTTTTATAGTATCATCATTTTTATGAGATTGAAGAAATTTGTTAGTACAACAAAAACTTTCATTATCAGATATGTCTTTCTATGTATAATATTTTGAACATAAAGGAATCAACTTTTGATTCAATCTACAATTTAATCAAAATTTGCAAAAAATAAAATAATCATCAAAAATTTATTTTGTTATTTGTTCTCATTTTTAGTATTTTTATCATTCAGACTCCTTGATCCACTATTTTTTTATAAATATTATTTAATTAATTAACATAATTTTATTTCAATGTTTTTTTACCATATACAACCATATACAGTGTCTATGGTGTAATTACTTCCACTTTATTAATTTTCTTAAAGTAATAAACTACATAAAATATCTTAAAATCTCCTCTTATTATTCTAACACCAATAGACTATTAATGATCATGTGCAATGAATTACATCAACTTATGTATAAATTTAAGAATTAATTCGACCAGTCAATTTTGAGAAGTATTTGTGCAAAGACCTTGACTTTGATATCTTACCTTTGTTTGTATTCCTTGCTGATGATTAAGATAAACTTGGTTCATCATACCTACCATACTTGCTCAAAGTCCAGGAGTTCATCCTTCTACTCTCTTCATCCCTTGTCGATTCCAAATTATATATATTTTAAAGTCTCTATTCTTATCATACTTACACAGAGTGTAGGAGTTGATCCTCCTGCTTATATTCTCACTCTCCTGCAAGATTTGGAAGCTATTCATTATTTGTACAGCCTTCCTTTACCTACAGCAAAGTCTGAAGATTGATATCTTCATAGACTATTCTTGTTGAGTTCTATATATTTTAAATGCCAATCCCATTATCATATGCAGTTCTACCTTAATCTTCTCTTGCCCATATCCCTTTATCTTAGCAATTTGGATGAAGAAGAAAAATTGAAGATGCATTAAAAAGCATGTACAAACCTTTTATCTTATTTCCCCAAACTTCCTAAGAATAGACCCATCATACCTGTCAATGTTGGTTGTTTTGGCTCGCATTTAATTTCTTATCTGAAAGCCATTGGAAGTTAATATTAATAACTTTCACAATGTTTGTATCATGAAATAGAATTTTTTAATTTTTGAAAAATTGTTTTCCATTTTCTTCAATTTTTTTATATTTTTGTATTTATTATTTTGTGATATTGAGCATTTTTAATTAGACTCTAAATGAAACCAATTAAATCCTAACTATGGTACATTTTTTAAGCGAATAACTACTTTTAGATGCGAATGTGAAATATTAACAATTAATTTTATTGAAGTGAAAACTTCTTTAGGCATTTTTTGCACTTATATTGTTGGGAGTGAATTAGATTGAACTGTCAGATATCCGATGTGTAATGCTCAGGTAAAGTCGTCTGGAGCCAACTAATTGAAGTGTTTTTGCATATGGATTAAAATATCTCAAAAACTAAAAATCGAACCTGTTTATAGGTATTGTTATCGAGGGAAATGTTCATCATTTCATCCTCTTTATAATGAGTCATTATTCAAAAGTGTATCTTAACGCGTCAACATGTTAGAGAGGTGAAAAGGGAAAATTAGTGTTGAAACCTCAATAATAACGAGTTTTATTCAAGATATGAATTAAAATATCTCAGAAACTAAACATCGGACCTGCATACTGTAAGCAAGGAAAATGTTCAGCATTTCATCCTCTTTATAATGAGCTATTATTTATATTTCACATTATTAATCTTGCCTGTTCGTGTATTCACTTCTATCGTGTGGTCTAAAGCACACACCTTATTTTTTTTTATATTATTAGTCTCTAATTATTTATTCTAAAATTAGAAATTATATAAATTATATTGAAAATAACAATATTTTTTTAAATATTCAAATTTATAAATGCATTCACCTATATGCTAAATGAAGATAAATTTATTGGCTTAATGCACTGATTCAGAAAGATAAAATAAAAAAATTGTTTCTAATATAGCAAATATGTTAAAAAAAATCATTTATTCTATTTTTTATTTAATTATTTCTAATTAACTTCTCGCAGATATGACAAAAGTTTTTTAAGAAAAAATTTACAATAAAAAATTATTTCATCGTTACCATACAATATATTTTCATCTGGCATACATCACTTTCAATGCCTTGTTTGGCTGTAATTTTATGGGTAAATTAATTTAATTCTTATATGTTGTTTTTCGACCGAGTAGAAATCATTGTTATAAAAATGTACTAACTGGACTTGGTGTCCTTTGTTTAAACTTCTCTGAAATATTTTAGCATAATTTATATATTCATTAATCCATGGTGGATAACATGTTTATTTAACATTTACGATGACTGCAAACATTTATTTCATTAATTCATGTTCTTGGTTAAATAAATGTTTTGCCTAGTATAATATATTTTAATCAAGTTATTCAATTCAAATTGTTTATAGCCAATACACCTATCCAATCTCAAGCATATAAAAATTTGTATTTAAGAACTTGATTGAGGTACTTTATATTTCATGAAATAAAGTTACTTTCCTGAAAATATGAACAATGACATATGTCTTATTCTTATTTGACATATGTGTTAAGGCCTTAGGTATATATGAATGGATTAAAACATATATAATGATGGTATAATATCAGTTATATTATTTCAAATTTCAATGCTAGTAATAAAATTGTTTTTTAACTCACCTCTGTAGCTTGAATGCTTTTATTTGTTGTTTTCAGCATCTTGTTCTGTTTTGTTAGTTATATCTGACGGTTACTATGTTAAAATGTGTTAAGGGTGTTAGAAAAAGAATTAATTTTAAATGTATTTATTATTGTCAGATTACATAAGGATTTTAATATTTAGTAAATTAAAATGAAAAGAAAAACAAACTTCTTAGCAGATAAGTGACATTAGAAAATTATATGTTTAAAATGACAAAGTCCTGTAAGAAATTGTGCTATGCTCACAATTACAAGATTATGTAAAAAAGTATAACTTTAGAGGCAAATTATATTTAAAATATATAAAAATTATTATTTTCATTTCACAACAATGCGTAAAAAATATATATATTTAAAAAAAAGTAAAATATCATTCAATATAAACTATAAAAATTAACTATTAAAACAAAAACAAATTTAACCAGGGATCTGTAGCTAGTTCTTCTTTTACAAATATTTTCTACATTTCACAATTTACTAATATAACACCGAAGGATAATTTAAGATTTATTAGTAATATTTAATCAATTTTAACATTTATAATTCCATTTTTTGATTCAACTGCCATTTTTTTCTGCAGCTTTTTGGAATGATATGCCTTCTCGAAGACTGTTTGAAAGCTCAGAAAATGGCTCAACATTTATTTTTCATAAAACCAACCTAAACCAATGAGAATAATCTCATTCTAGCTTTATTTTTTTCAAACACTACAGGTTAATCAACGAAATAGAATCTATATATTGCTTGTTAATATGATTTTTGCTAAACTGTTATAATAACTAATTATTTTATATTAATTCAACATATGATTTCCTTTGAATGATTGGATACAGTTTCATTAACTAAATTAATCAATGTAGTGATGAGGGAATAGAAAACATCTAAACTATACTTGTATCCAAGTTTTGTTAGTTCGCTACTTTTTCAGTTCTTCGATCAAAAAGCACACATTAGTATAATATATAAAATCATAATCATTTGCCTCTAAAATTATTCTTTTAATAAATACACATTAGAATGGACCACTGTTATAACAGGGCTGAATACATGACATTAGCGTATGATGGGATGAAGCATTAAAATTATATACATATAATTTTTTATTTTAGCATTGATGATGTATGTACACAAATTTGGATGAAACATAAATAAACAAATTATTTGATTTGACAAAAATAATATTTATATAAATAAATATGTACAGTTTGTTCAGAAAAATAAAAAAATAATTTATTTATTTTTGCAGTCTTCGGTTTCAGCCAATAATTCTTAAGTCTTTTTTTTTTTTAATAAAATAAATAATCATAAATATATATGTCAGATTTTTTTTTTTTTTTTTAACAAAACATAACTTTTGAATTTTTATTTTTCAAAAAATGAATAGTTCGAGTGTAGTTGGGAACAGTGTTCCGAGAATCCAGAGCCTTGAAATTTTGATGGTTGTTTTAAAAGTTCAACCTTGGGGTTGTGCCTGCAACATTAAATCATTCCCTTACATCATGAAATATGGAATTTGAAATTTATGGGGTTAGTCTCTGACACACTTCTATCTACTGTAAATCCTCCTATGGTTTTAAATAATTGCTATAAATTTATCATCAAATATATTTACAAAAGAGTACAATATAAATCAGCTTAAATGCTTCTCAAGTTTCAGTTAAACAGATGATATAATCAAAACAAGTCATAGCATAAAGTCTTAGATCCACTTCTATATGTACGTTTCAAGGGTGGTAATGTGGGAACTTAAATATGTTTCATAAACCAAAAGTAAATAGAATTGGTCCAATATACAAAAAAAAAAAGAAAGGAAGCAACTGGCATAAAGAACAGAGAATTTGGAGGTAAATCCCTTATCTTAGATATATATTAGGTATACCCATAGTTGGGTGGCACTACCGCTCCAATACAAGATTGATAATCCTCTTAGCGAGATAAGCATAATTTACAATCACTCTGTATAAAACACCTTAAAGATCGAAAGGACTGGAAACCACTTAGAAATTTACAGGTAAGTAGAGAGATAGCTCTTCAGTAAAAAGATTGACCAATAGTTTTGAGAAGAGGTATCGGAAGGAGGAGATAGTTTTATATTTGGAAGAGTATAGTTTAGTATTGGAGTTGAAAATAGAACCTGGTGGAGAAAAGGGATGTTAGCTGGAAAGAAGAGAGATAAACAGCCAAAGGTCTAGGATCGATGAGACGAAATGGTAAGGTTACTAGAAATGGTAATGGTGGTGAACTAGTCTGGCGAGTACCTACAGGCTGCTAAGATTCGTTTTCTGAGGTTACCAAGAAATGAAAATTTACTAATACATGTGGGAATCGAATCCACAAAGTTCATAACTGGGCACTCTGCCACCTGAACATGATTGGCTATCATGCTTCACGGCAAGGTTAAAGAACTAGCCGCAGAATCCACTATATTACTTCATTGAAATATTTCTACTATAAAGTGAAGATTTCTTATACCAGAATCCACCGTACACCCCAACACAAAAAAACCAGAACATAACATAAGAACAACAAAAAGAACATCTTAATAAGATGTTTATTGATTACAATAAATTATTGTTTTCAATGTTATGTAAATTGAACTATTTATTTATTCAATAATTTCTATCAATATCTAGGTGTATCATTTTGACTGTGAGCCACTGTACGTTTCTGGATCCTACAGCCATCTTAGAAAAGCAGATAGCCAGAAATATTCCGTATAGTTTCAACAACCTCTATTGATTCTTAACTTTTATATGACAAATCTAAATAAGATAAGAAAATGTTCTTATAGTTAAAATAATAAAAAAATTGAATCCATACAATAAATTTTCCTTTGGGTTTGCTGCAAAAAGGAGATAGCTCCATCCTAGGGCTATGAGGAGTTATAAACATTATCTTGTTCTAAAAATAAACCTTTTTTGGTTTGTACAAGAAGTATGCAGTTCCAATCGCTAGTTCCTACATTACTCTAAAGATGGACCTGCCCGTCTTATTAGTTTGTTGCAAAAAAGCACTATCTCCTGGAGCTATATCTTTGTTTATATAATATCATAATATTCAATATAATGTTGAACAGTCTCCAACAAATATACGCCAACCATCCACCATTCAAGGCTGAAAAATATAAAGATGCGATGGACCTTGCCCACAAATACATCAAACAAAATGAATGAGAATGTAACGATTGAAATGAGGGATTATTTTCTGTTTGTAAAGCCTACAGTTTTGTTATATTTTATTTCCAGTTTTATTCAAATAAAAAAAAAATAACATAATAATAGTACATTGTATTTATTTTTAAAGCTTCTTTCTAGATATAACACATTCTTTTGGGCAAGAAAGAGGTAAGTCCAAGAATCATCGAAGTACCACCATAATCTAGATGACATTTTTTGAGTGTAAAGACTGTTCAAATATGTAAACATCATAATTGAAATAAAGAAAGAGTTTGGTTGAGGAAAACTTCATATTGAAGAAACCCCTAAATAAAAATAAATAAAAAAATGGAAAAGTGGAGTTACCTATTTTTTGCAATAAACCCTTCGATTGTTGAAAAATTATTTCAGAAACCATTTTTTTTTTGCATTTCAAACAAAAATAAAATTTAGAGTTGGCAATTTATTAAATAGAAAGGGAATAGAACAGGCAACATAAAAATAATGTATCATGTCTCCAAGATTACAGTTAACAAGGTATCTGATAAATGGTAATAATGTTGAGAATGCAAGATTTTAAAATGTTGTAAATTCTTAAATTTTGAATTTTTCAAAATGCTTTGAGTATTCATTGTTTTTCAGTTGTATGTTTCATGTAAAACTTATAAAGATACAGCACTTTTTTAAACCAGAAACAAAAAGCTAAAGTAATCTTACCACTTTTTTCTTTTGCATTTTTTGACTAGATCGTCTGTCGCTATGAGAAGCATTTGAACCAATTGATATTGTACACTTTATATATTAAATAATTAAAATATGGTTGTGATACTAACTACTGTATTACACTAAACTAATTTTTCTTTTCTTTTTTTAGTGCTCAGCATTTTTAAATCAACTAAAACCAAAGTTACTTTTAATATAAACTATAGTTTCTGAAAAAAAAAATCTACTTTAATTAATTTCTTATTTAATTTTAATTGCACTTTTTAAAAATTAAATTATTAGGAAGAAAAATTGAATTTAAGTCATTTCTAATTTTTTGTTGAATTTTATCTCTTTTTAAACATTTTTATATCTTATATAATTTCTTGATCCAATCTAGAAATTAAAAATGACTAAATTATTAGGCGATTCCTGAAATTATGATTGTTATTAAGATTAAATAATGAATGATGGATAAAGCTTAGTCACTTTCAAAAAAAAAAAAAGCTGTTGATGTTGCGGAAACGATTTTATCAATACTCACTGAAGGGACGGATTGGGTGCTGCTTCCACAAGTAAGACCTTTTGACGGGGGAGAGGAAGCTGTCCCTGAGGAAGTATGGGCTGTGCTTCATCGGTACGTAGGGTGCCTCGAAGGGTCTGTACTGTGGGTATGACCACCACCATGGGACCCTTGTCTCCCGGCTGATTGGGATCCATGGGCTCGGTTCGTAAAGTTCAGTCATTGGTCTCTTGAAGCCTCCTCGACTGTAGATGGGGTGTCCTTAAACATCCACCAGTTCATTAATAAAATGAATAAAACCCTATATGGCAGTAATGCCAGGTAGGATGAAAAAAAAAAGTTCATTAAATCTATTATTTCTGATCAAATTCTCACCAGTATGGGTGTACAGAGGAACTTTGGATCCGTCTGGCCCAATCTCGTACTCCTTGATAAGGGGGAGTCCTCGCCTCCTGTAGGCTGGGTTCAAGTATTTCTGGTCAGGTTCTCGGCCTTCCTCTGCGTCCCAATCACTAGGTGCCTTGAAGTACTCTACAAAAAATATCTTTTATTTAGACAATTAATTTCTGCTATAAATACTAAACAAAATGGAATCTATTGTATGGATTCATGTATGTTTATGTATTTATATAATTGTGTGTTTATTTACTCTTAAATTTAATTTTAATCTTCTATATAAATAAAAATGAATGTATGTCTGTCTGTCCCTCTGTTTGTCCTTTGTGCATTACTAAACCATTCATCGGATCGCCATGAAACTTTTAGAAGTTGTTCCATACACTCCTGGGAAGGTTTCTGGCATAGTACTTCTGTCTTACGATAATTTTATATATGTAAAAAAAATAAAAATGTAAATATTTTTCTGTTCAAAGCTGCAAAAAAATGTGTCGCTATAAACTGTAGCACCAAAACGGCTTTACCGATTTTAACAAAACTTGGCCAAAGTCTTCCACTTGAAACCCTTTTAATTTATGTGTATAACATACTTTCCCAAAAACAAGCTGAAAAATGTTACGATGAATTCAATAATCTATTTGCCGATAACTAAAAAAGTACACAATTTTTTATCGATAATACCCATATTTATTTGAAAGATTTCTGAATCCCTGACAAAATAAAAAAAAAAATCATCGAAATCGGACGGTTCGTTGCAGAGTTATTGAGCTTTAAACATTTACTGCTTTCTCTTCAGAAAAGGCTGTTTCCTTTTGCTTCCTCACTACCGAGGACGGCAAGCTTTTTTTTTTTTTTTTTTTACTGATTAATCGAAAATTTTATAATTACTACAGTAATTGAAATTATCATTTGAAGAAGTTAAATGATTCTCCTTATGTAGGTCAATACTATAATACTTTTTTTTTTAATTTTTTTAATTTAGTTTTATAAGTTCAGACTGTTTCTGATGATTATGAATGACGGCGTATTCACTCAGATGGTTATGAATGTTCAATTTGAATCATGAGAAAAAAATTTATTAGAATTAGTTTAAATTGAAGCCATTTTACAGACAAATTTGTTTCCCAACTTTTTATAAATGATAGATGTCCTTTGTTACTAATCTACTCATATGTGCTTTCTATTTTCTTTCTTTTTCATTTTGCCAGGCTAAGCCACAGCAGCGCGTGGCAGGGTAAAGCTATTTAATAAATAAAAATGTTTTATTTTTGAACTATTACAAATGAAAAAAGGAATTATGATTGAAGTGTTTCTGAGCTGAATGATCTAAGTGCCAAAATATTTTATAGACCCTCATAAGGCCTGTTCTGACATATGCGTCCAAATGTTGGACAAGCTCAGGAACTAATGATCCTAAGATTCGAGAGCCGGATCCTTAGAAGAATCTATGGACCAGGGTTCAGTGGGCTAATGGAGTGGCGGAGGTTGCAAGGTCCATCTTGGGCATAAGAAACTGGAAGGCAGTGGCAGCGAACCAAGAGGACTGGTGGTTGATGTTAAGCAAAGCCCTGACTCACTACTGAGTTGCAGTGCCAAGGAAAAAAATTCATTGACTTTTTTTTTTAAAGCAACATGATCTGAGACTATCTCTGATGAAATGCATTCTGATACAAGCAAAAAAAAAAAAAAAAGATCTGACAAAAAGTTAATTTAATGAATAGTTGTTTTATATTTTCTTCAAAATTTGTTTTATAGCACTTAGCTCACTTTGTCATGAAGCACTTCAATTATTATTTAAATTATATGATAAAGGAAATAAAACAGGGGTTGAAACAGTTTTTTTTTTTTTTTTTACAAATGAGTTCAGCTATTTGAAAAAACTTCTACCAATAAGAGGTTAAAGGTAAAAGTTTTTTCAGAACTGTTAAATAAAAATTCTAGATTAAAAAAGTTTTCACTTTTTAAATACAAATATAAATGTCATAAAAAAAGTATTTGTGAAACTTTTACTTATTCCCTCTAAAATAAAAATTATAAGTACAAAAAATTAAAAATTGAAGTTCATAATTACAACACTGCTCAATAGTCAGAGTGGAAAACTAATACATTTCGATGAACTTGGAATATATTTCAATATTAACTTTGTAGAACATTATATTGGTTTGGCAAATAAATCCTTTCAGTTTTTCTGTCACTATGATACACTTCTTATCTGATGAATTAATACCTATGGTGGGTTGTTTGTCCTGTTTGTAATACATCTACAACTATATCTGTTAACTCTTGTTGAAACTAGCTTAGTATTGTGTTTACTATTGCACTGTGAATATGGAAGAAAATATCATTCATTATTTTGTTGTATTATTTTAAAAAAGGTAAGCGTGCTGCAGAAGCTCATAGAAAAATTTGCAGTGTTTATGGGGATGATGCCTTAACCAAATGCACCTGTCAAAATTGGTTTGCCGAAGTTCATTCAGGAAATTTTGACATCAATGATGCTCAACGGTCTGGTCGCCCATATGGAATTGAAATGAGCAATGTTTAGGTCATTGTTGATCAAAATTCCACCCAATCAGTGCGAGAGATTGCTATGGCCCTAAATGTGTCACACAAAAGCATAGAAAACCATTTGCACAAGCTCAGCTATGTTTCCAGGCGTAATGTTTGGGTCCCTCACTCTCTAACCAAAGCCAACTTGGCAACACATATTTCTATTTGTGATTCATTACAGAAACAGCAACAAAACAACCCATTTTTGAAAAGGTTAGTAACAAGAGATGAAAAATGGATATTTTACGATAATATAGTCGGTAGAAAATCTTGGGAACCTATTAGTGAGGCTCCTAGAAGAATGTCAAAACCCAGATTGCATCCAAAGAAGATAACGCTTTCCATATGGTGGGATTTCAAGGGAGTTATTTTCTATGAGCTATTGCCATTACGCCAAACAATTGATTAAACTCTATACTGTTTACAATTAACAAAATTGGATCAATCAATTAAAAATAAACGCCCAGAACTGGCAAATCGGAAGGGTGTTGTGTTCCACCAAGACAACGCTAGGCCCCACACCTCGTTGGTCACTCGCAATAAATTATTGAGCCTTGAATGGGACCTTTTGCCCCACCCTCCCTATTCATCCTCCCTAGCTCCAAGGGACTACCATTTGTTCTGGTCTCTCTATAACTCCACAAATGGAAAGAAATTGCAAAAGAAAGAAGACATCAAAAACCATTTGGATGAGTTTTTTAACAATAAACTCCAGACATTCTATGAACATGGCATTATGCAGTTAGTGTAAAGATGGGAAAAAGACATATTAAATAATGGTCAATATATTGTAGATTAAAATAAATTTTATGTATATAACACATTGAGTTTTATTTCACCCTGAAAAAACGAAAAAAACCTATTTTTGTCAATTCAATATAATACAAGGATTTATTTGTTGATCAGAATTGTTTTATGAAAAATGTAAAAGCTTTAATGTTTTTGAATTAACCATAAAACATACTATCTTGTTCCATATTTTGTAAATATTTGCTAGGCTAAATGCATAGAAAATTTATTATGTTTTATATAGCTATGCACATATATTTATTGATGATTATGTTTTCTGTTAATGAAAACATAAATGCATATTACTTTCTTCATTAAAACCTAATCAAGTAAATGGTTTATAGAAACTGATATATAAAGCCTTTTATCAATGAGGTTTGAAAATAAAAGTTAAGAAAATAACTGTTTTGAAATGGTATGTATCAATTAAAAGTAATTATAAGAGTTAACTGTTTCATTGACCCCTGAAATAAAATCTTTATAATAAAAGTAATTTTTCATAAATTTTATGTTTAAGAAACAGAAATATTATAGTAAAAAATATACTAGTATAACTGTACTTCTTAAATCTATATTTTATGTGTGATTTCAATTAAAAAATATCAGTTCCTAGTAGTAAAATAATTTTTTCAAACTACCTCTTAACAGAGGCTTATCTGAGAGGCTAGGTGGGGGAAATAATTTTTAAAAACCAAGGTTTTAATAAATTTATTTTCGTCTTTTTTAGGGTTCAAAAAGAAAAAAATGATTTTAATAGATTTAAGTTTAAATTAGACATGGAATAAGATGAATAATAATCACTTTATAATGAATACAGGGTAGTAATTGAGTTGAGTGAAAAACATTAAAAGTAAAAAAAAATTTTTTTATTTAAGGGTGTTGTTTCCCTCAGCCAAATTCTCCCTATCTATCGCTTCCTCCTCCATCAGGACTCAGCCTGCCATAATCTAAACCACATCTCTTCACCTGGCATGAGGACTTCCTCTCTTTTCCTACCCTCGGTCTCCCACTCAAATTCATCCTTTTCACGTGTCCAAACCAACTTTAATCTTCTTTATTCCATTATCACTAATATATTATTTTTAACTTCCAGCATTTCTCTAATGGTCTCATTTCTGATCCTGAGACTCTAGCCGATCTCCTCCAAAACTCCATAGCTACAGATAGGAATCTCTTGCTCTATGATTTTTGGAGTGGCCACATTTCAGAAATATAGAGCATTACGCTTTCTACAAGGGCCTTAAATGTGAAACATGATTGATTTTATCATTTTCTTCAATGCTGCAATGGAAGTAAAACTAACCTTCAGCTTCTTATATGACCCATATTTTATTTTTGAATTTATGGTATCAATGCAATTTCATATCTTGAATTTTCATTAACAGGACTCATCAAATCTGTTACTATTGCTCAATCCAAAATTGGAAGACAGTTTGGCATCTAACTAACTTTAATTGCTAGTTAAAATAAATTAATAACCATTGTTTGATCAAAAAATTGATCTAAGGAAGCTAAAATAATTTCAAATTAAGAATATTAAAATTCTTAATTAAGTATATTATATAGAGAAATAATTTTATTTTGGTTATATATCAAACCAGTTATTACTATAGTGAAAGTTCAAAAGAAAAGGAATTTCAATCAATAAAAATCATGTATGATTAATTTTGAAGCAAATTTTATTTATTTTCATAAATAGTTTTTGGAGTGAGTGAAAACTTTATTATTATGTATTTTAAAAAATTAAAAGGCATTTTAATAACAAGATAAAAATTACTTTTAAATTATTAATTGCTCTGTCGTTTGTTGAAATAAGCTTTTTTTTGGAGTCGAGTTTTTTTTTTGGTTTTGTTCCAGATATTTTTAAGATAAGGTATTGCAAGTGATGTAGTCATTTGAGAAGAGACCTTGGGAGTATGGCCATGATGTTTATTTAAAAAACATAGTTGTTTTTTTTGTCAAATATTTATCTTTATAAAAACATTTTGTACATATTTTCAGTCAAAGAAAGTTCGGAGGTTTTATTATATCCTCAGTAAAAAAAAAAATGTAAATAATATTCTTTAATTTTTCAAAAATAATTTTTTTTTTGAGAATTTTAATCTGTAACTAGTATCCCCCTATTGTTTCACTTGGGTTTAATTTGGATTACATTGACAGTTTCATTGACATAAAATCAGATTGGTAATTCCTTAAATTTCTGAGTTCTAACATACAAACTTTTCAAATTTATTTATTCATTTAAAAGCATGCCTTGCAAATGTATTAAGGTATGCCTTAAAAATTTGAGAAATAGATCAAAATTTTAGATTTTAGATCTCGAGTCATTGTGTGACCTGGCATTCAGTATAATTAAATTTTAACCTCTTTCAAATTTAAAATCATTTATGTAAAAATAAATTAATCAGCAAATATGAATTTATTATTATTTTGTAATCGAAATTCAGTAGTTTGAATGTGTTTCATTCCTGTAAGTTTAAATTTAATCATAAAATAAAAACATTGTATTTACTAGTTTCCAGTTTTGACCTTTTTTTTAATAATTATCTTCTCGTACTATGGTTCCTGTAATCAGGATTTAATTTTGTGACTAGTTACACTGGTTCAATATCTTTAATTTTTATAAAGATATTTTTCATAAAAATACTTTTTAACTATATACTAATTACTAAATAAACCATCGAATTCATTTTTTCAATCTATTTAGTATCCATATTTCGAAACAAAATATAGTGTTTTTTTAAAGTAAACAGTAATGTTTCTATTAATGATTTGAATAAAATATATTATTTTTTCAAATACTATGTAAATATAAATAATAGCTATACTTACTGTAATAATTATTTACATACTAAATTAATACTAATTTTCTTAAATTTTAGAATTTTTTTAATGATAACGTAGTATGTCACCTTCATGTTCAGTGTGTGAAAATGTTTAAAACTTGAAATTCTTATTAATAAAGCAAGAAATGCATTTCTAATCCAGCTTTAATAAAATATATGCAAGCATAATAAGCTAAGCTATATTTAATGTAAATATAAATATTAAATTCTTACCGTATTGGAAATGACCATGTTGATCAAGCTTAAATTCTCCTTGAATTTGGTTGGAATAGTCGCGATCTGAGAAATCATTTTAGAGATAATTGAAAATAAAACAGCAAAAAAAAAACTAAAACAAAAATAAATTAATACAAAAAAGCAAAATAAAAATTAATAAAATAAAAAGCTTTCATATTTTTTTTCTAAAAAAACAACGTTACCTGCACACATTTATTTCAAGTATCTAATAGCCATTTCTGTATTTAAAGACATTTAAATTTTTTACTTACCTTTAAATTCGCTGATGTGGAAATAAATATTTTTAAAGCTTTTTACATTTTTTTTTTAAGTTAAAAAACTTGGAGCTTTAAAACCATGAAAAAAAAGAATTAAAAAGTATTTTATATTTTATTCTTCATGTTTCTAATCCAATTTAGGTTTATTAATTATTTTTTAATTGACTTGCCATTTTTTAATGCTTATTCCAATCTATACAATAATGTTTTATCACATCTGTTTGTATCTATATATAATCTTATAAACAACATTATTTATAGAAATGAAGAGTCTGACTCGAAAGCCATATACCATGTTTGGGCCTAGGTTTAAATTTAGCCACAAGGTTGATGCAGGGTATGAAAATATTGCTAGAACTGATTCTAAAACTAGATAAAACCTGACCTTTAGATGTTATATACATAAAAATATTATTATCAACCCTTTTTGAAGTTTATAAGTAGGAATAAACAAAATAACCGAGAAAAAATCTGTTTGAAAAAACAATTTTAGTTGTAACATGTAATATAAATTACTCTTGGAAGAGATGCTTTAAATAGATTAATTTAATATAGTTCAATTTGGTATTAATATCTACAGACTACTAGTTTTAAAATTCAAAAGTCAATATTCCTAAAATTTTTACTTCCAAATAGCACTATATATTTTTTTCATTTTAGTGAACCCTAGTTAAATAATTAATAGAAAACAAAAAAATATTGAGGAAACATAAAAATAAAAAGTTTTCATATTTTTTAGAAGATTGGTAGGAGATTATTGATATTAAGAAGTTAATTTTTACTTAATTAATCACTATAACTTTTGCTGATAATTCTGGCAATAATTGCTTGCAGATCCTTACCATAATCAAGTTTGTGAAGCTAATGCTGACTAAAAACCGATCTATTTTCCAAAAAATGTTGATGATTATTTATTAACATATTTTCATGGCTATAATTTGTGAAACTTGATGTGAACTTTTATACACACTAACACTAAACACATTTTCATTGGAAAAGAAATTTATAGAATTATCCACATGAATTGAACCTAGTGTGAAGAAGATGGGCTTGATTCCGAGCTAAAACTAAAACACATCCTTCAGACGTCACTTGATACAGCGATAAAAAAAAAAAATCTTGGCGATCATCCAAGATTTTCAATTTTATAAAGTTAAATATCTTCTCAACTTAAACATTATTGTATCAACTGGAGTTGGGCAATCTCAAGTTTCAATTTTTTTGTATATAATTTTGTTTTTTAACTTTATGGTCTTTTTAAAACCACTTCCTTGAAAATGATACATAAATATGATGAGGTAGTTGCTCCTATATAATCTGTTATTTGAAACGTTAATTTTATGATTAGTGGGATATAGAAATATATTTTGTTTTACAATAAATGAAAATGCTTTTCTTAATCTATCTTTATAATGTAATACGATAGTTTTTCGCTGTGACTATCCCTTTTCTGGCTCTCAGTAGCAATGGATTTTGATGAACGAGTTATCAAACGAAAGGGTATTAAATGGAGCTGTGACGAATTATAGTAACATTCATCCGTAATTTCAGGAAAAAGTTATGAACGAAAAGAAACTTTATTTGCGAATTACTTAAAAAGTATACAGTTTCTCTCGATTAAACCCATAATTATTTGAAAATTGACTAAATTCCCAACAAAACAAAAAAAAAGTTTATCGAAATCAGACCATTATTTACAAAGATACATCCCATAGTATTGAACATATGTTTGGAATTATTAGTTCAAATGAACTAATTTGATTTGACTGAGAAAAAGAAATTTATTTCTTCTCTCTCATAATAAATATCATCAATTTATTTTATATTATATTGTCAGTTTTTCATTGAACAATATTCTATGGGAATTATTTGTACGGGCCTACTAGTTGTTTTTTAAATTGATTAATATTTTCTATTTTTTTTTTTTTTTAATTCATTGATGCTTTTGATTAGGTTCAAAACCTCAATTCTTTTTCTCAAATTTTATCTAAGGTACCAAAAACAAATGATTGTACACAGTTTGAAACAACATAATAAGTTGAACACATATTTACTTTCACTTATCCTTACATAAAATTTATTGTATGGAAAGTATTTTAATCATGATACCAATATTTTCAAACCAAATTTTCTACAGTGCGTGTATGTGTACTTGAACATCATAACTCAGATACTGAATGATATATGAAACTGAAATTAAATATTTAGGTCAGGTATATATTGGTAAAGTTACAGTAACTTTTTTGCTAAAATCGACTTACCAGAACTTCCACTTAATTTTATCGATTTGTATAACTTTTTCAAAAACAGCTCTTATGATTTTGATTAAACTTGATGGAAAATTGAATGGTCTTCAATATCAAATAGGTTTTATTCTCATTGAAATAATCTTACTGGACTTAGAAAACAAATTTTCAAAATGTCTACCTCTTAAGTACCCTTAATTTTTTTTATTAGAAATAATTAACGGTCTCTCATTGTTAATAGTCATACAAAATGGATAATAATGAACTATGAAAGAATTTGATAATTAATCATAGGAGAAAATATGATAAATATGCTCGCAGAAAATTTCTGAAAATGAGGGTAGTAATGTAGATGTTTGATAAGCCGTTGGAAAGCTTAAGATTTTAGAAAAATGAATATTCAACATATAAGATAATAGAAGATAATGAAGAGTAAGGAAAAAAACTTTACATGGGAAATAAATGTTTCCATAGTAACTAAATGGATTTTTTTTAGGAAGTGTATTTAAAATTAAATTTATAGCTTTTAAAGTATAATCAGCATGAAAAACTAAAAATATAAAGCATTGTTGTAATTTTTAGTATTTATTTACTAAATTTACAAAATTGTAATTCACTTAGGAAAATTAGATTAAATCATGACAAATCACAAAATATAACATTTACACTTCGACGAGACACATGCCCACCTGTTTATGTCGGCGACAACCAAGTTCCCCAGACGGACATTGTACGTTATCTCGGGTTAATATTTGACAGAAGGATGACCTGGGGCCCACATGTTAAAATGAAACGAAAGACTTTGAACGAGCAACTGAAAATACTGTATTCACTTTTTTCCAAGTAAAAATTGAAAATCAGACAAAAACTTAATACATACATTAACCTGCTCAAACCCATATAGACATACCCCTCACAAATTTACGGTTCTGCAAAAAAGACACACTTACAAAAACTACAGGCATTTCATCCAAAATTTTATGACTTATAACATGAGCTCCTTGGTATGTAAAGAACAATACTTTACGTAACGACGTACGACAACCATCTATCGACTACCACATACGTGATCTCTACTCTAGATTTCATGTTAAACTACACGGACATTTCAACGGACTTATTAATGACATGGCCACAGCTGACATGCCCATCAGGAGACGACTAATGAGGAGCTGGATGAGAGATCTCCTTTCCTGAATTAAGGAAATAGATCAAGACCAGGAAGAAGTGCTGCTGAGTAATATTTTTTTCTCATGCTTAGAATATAAATTTTTTCTTATTAGCTACAGCACATCTGCTTATTGTCAAGCTGAAGACAGTTATGGATGGAAATATGAAGAAAAAAAAAAGTATTTATAATGAAAATAATATTCTTAAGATTTATTAACTTATAAAAAAAAATATTTCTACTGAGAGTAGGGTGAGAAACGAAAGTTGTGTAATGTATCACAACAGTCTTTTTCTAATCGATTGAAACCCTTTTAGTTACTATGGTTTTGCAATATGTACATTGAGAAACCGTTTAAAAAAATAAAATGAATACATTTGATAAAATGAAAAATTTGATTGAGACGGTTATGGTTTCAATTAAGATTTAATCATAATAATTTACACATTCCAAGATGTTCTGAGTGCAAAATAATCACTTTTCAAACAATTTTTTTGTTGTTTTCTATTTTTAAGAACATCTAATGTTCCAGTGCTATTGAACAATTCAGAATTAAATTTTTGGGATTTGTATTGGTTTTTTTCAGGACATGGTGAATACAGATTTCTTTAATAAAATATTCTAGTCAAATACACTGGCCATTCTATTATAATAAATCTGAAGATTTAATTTTAAAAAATGAGCAGTACTTCACATTATCTTACTTAAATCATTCTCAGTTAAAATCAATTGCTAGAATATATCCAAAATAGTAAGCAATTAAATGTCAAGAGTTATTTTATTTTTTTCAAAATCAAAAAATTTTTGTAGCAAAATTAAGCAGGAATTATAGAAATTTAAATTGAATGTATTTATAAAAACTTTATAAATTGGTTAAATGGTTCTTATTGGATTTCTTATAACTTGGTTTTTGGAAATATATATTGTAATGCAAATATTACATAGTGATTTTAAATAGTGGTGCAAAAGCAGTGACGTCATGAGCTACTGTCAAAAATGGACAAAAAGACAGATGGAAGGGGTAGCAAGGGCTATATGTTAGGGAAGAAAGTAACCAGCCGGCAAGGAAAGATAATCGATACCAACTGAGAGTGACAGGTGACCAACAAGTAGTGACTGTCTGGACGAAGACGGGAAAATAGAAGATTGTGGAAGTTTAATACAGTAATGTCTGTGGTATTAATACAGAGGAAGATTCACTGTGGACCAGGGTGAGTGCAATTTAAATAGTGACAATTAGAAAGCGCGCCAAGAGTGGACCATGAAAAAACTGAATAGAAATCCATAAATGTTGCATATAAATTTAATGTATGATTTTAAGTTATATAATTGAGGAATGTGTGTTTATTGTCTCAACCCAACCTGAGAAATAATTTGTAATAATTTAATAAAATAAAAGTAATTTGATTCAGAAACTGTTTGTTTACTTGTCAAAGGAAACGTAACCTATCAATATATAGTAAAAAGAAAGTTGTACAAAAAAAAAGAGATATATAATGGATTTCAATAGTAATTGAGTAGTTGTAATTTAAGAACAGGGACTAATAAGCAAGCTTTAAAAAAATAAAATGTTTTTGAATATTTACGTTAGCTTGATTATTATTATACAGTTGAATCTCTGAATATTGAACTTCTAAACATCAAAGATCTCTATATATTTAAATATATGTATATACTTTGAAGTTTAGTAAGGAAATAAAATTTTGTGTTTTAAGTAACATTTCTACTTGGAGTTCCCAAAAAATGAATCTTGGCATTCCCTCTGTGGTTAATATGTAGCGACAATCTTTAGGTAGCAGTCAGGGATTGTAAAAAAGGACTACAAGACCGCACTAGTTCCCCCACCATTACCATTAACATTTCTGTATATTGAACAAAGAGGCATATTTAAAAATATATAAAATGTAATTATCATAAAAAAAGGACCACAGATTATGTTTTATAAGAATGAATAAATAATTAAATAAGAAAATAAAATTAAAAAATTGTAATTTGGCTGATAGAAATATGGGTCTCAGATTGCCAAATTTTTAACATTGTGGATTTGATTCCCATCTCGAATGAATCTCGACATTCCCACTCTCCCCACCAATACCAATACAATTAGCAATAGCAGGTTTAGAAAGTTTGAAATTTCTTTTTAATAAAGTAGTATTGAACTATAATTTATAATTTTAATTAAAAAATTATCTGTAATTCTTTTTAGTACTACAAGAATGAAAAATTTTTGTCTTCATACTTGTCCGAATTTTACGTACCAAATTTATTTTCTTGAAAGCTCCATGACAGAGATTCAATTGTATAAATAAATGATATTTCTTTGTTGTTTTCAATCTATCGTAAACTGTCTTAAATAATTATTAAAATATTCATATCAAACCTGATTCCATAAAATTAACTTGATTCGTCCTCGTGTGAACTTATTTTAAATGGTGCAGAAGGAGCTCTTGTCATATCCTCAGTTCTTGTATCTATTTGTTTTTTAAGTAACTTGAAGTGTTTAAATTTATATTAGATATAACTAGGTTTACTTTAAATATTTTTCCAATATTAAAAGTTTTATCAAAATAAAATTTACTTGATTTTTTCTTGTATATTATTAAAAATTTACTATTAATTCAACTCTTTTATAATTAAATATTATTTATATAACTAAAAAATTATATATTGATTAAAAATTGCTATTTGTATATTGCAGCTTTTATCAAAGGTAAGTAATTTAAATTTATGTATAATTGCAAAATATTGATATTGGCATATAAGATACTTGAAATAATGCTTTTCTGTTTGACTTGAGTGTTGTACATAATTATAATAAATTACATAGCAGCATAATAACTTCTCTAAGCTTTGCATATAGCTTAAATTCCATTCCATCGGATTACAAAAATGTTTGCATTCAGCCGTTGCCAAGCAGCACACTATATACAACCATTTCATGCTTGATGAGGTTTGGAAACGTGAAATTCAATTCTACTTATTTATATTTCTTAAAAATGATTTCATGATGATATCAAAATTTCTAATTATGATAGAATTATTATATGAAACAGTTAGATGAATTGACATGGTCAATTTTAATACTAAATGACAAATATGGGTGGACAGAAAAAAAAAAAAAAAAATGAAATTGTGGATAAAAATGCAAAAAAAATGTAATTGGAACTTGGATGGTAATGGATAAACAGGCATTTTAGGATCAAGGATAATGCAAATGAATATTACGCATGTACAATATGCAAGGATATTTATGTTCAAGGACTAAAAAGCTAACAGTTGACACTACGAATATATTTATAATAAAAACTATATGTAAAAAAAAAAAGAGAGAGGACTTTGACCATGCCAGTTAATGTTATGAGGTTAGCAGGTAACAGAAAGAAAATGCAATCTCCAATCACAGTCTTTAAATGGTAACTTTTTATTGACCATAGAAAAACGAAAAATATATATGTATATATAAATAACAACATGATTGATTATAAAATTTTACAAAGAACTTGTTTCTTTTCAAATTTCACTATTTTTACTACACAACAATATTTAATACAATAAATAAGAGAATAAATACAATTGTTTTGTTTGAAATATAAATAATTTTTTTTTAAATAGTTTCTTTTTTTTTAAATATATATATAACTAAATTTTGATGCCTCGCTCACATCATGGAGCCAATTTTGTTTAAATAAATAGCATTAATAGCAAAAGGATTACAAAGCAAATAAGAAACAAAACCAAACTTTGACTAGCATAAAGTGTTTTCATGAGGTGACTTACTACCAACAATTTTTCTTGTTTTTTTTTTTTTAATTTGTTTATTCATGTGACGCCCCAACTGCAACTGAAATATTCGTTTTCTATGGCATCGTTTTTAAAAATTGGAAGGATAATTATATCCTTCAGACTCTATTCCAGTGGAAGGGACGTCACAAGGTTGGTAATAAAAGAGATGCTTAATTTTACGTTAAGGCATCGCTTTTCTGGCCTCTCCGAAATTTATATCCGACAACGGGTTAAAATAAATAACATAATATAAAGATATATTAATGTGAGAAATTGTAGGGGTTCCCGCAGGAGGCTTCTAGTACCTACCGTAACGGGGGACACGGTCGAGGCTGCTATAGTGATGGGGGTAGATGTTCCTTGGGGAGAGGCCGTAAGTGTCACGGGAGATGGGGAGGTAACGATAGCCAGGGGAAGAGATCCTGTCAGACGGGGCAATGGGGTCGTCGAAAATTGACTTGAATGTTGGGAATTCAGCCAACGGGCGGAAGATACCCCTTGGAGAAGGGTACCTTGAGTAGTGGCTTGCCTCTGGAGCTCTGATGTCGTCAGTACCTGTAGGCATGTTTTCCATAAGTAAATCTCATTTTACATAATTTATAATGTTACACATACTTTAATGCTAAGGACATGCACACATTTCAAACTCAGGTATAAAATATTGAAAACAAATGCATTGGATTTATACACACGTTTGATAAATATAAACTTTATCATTAAATAAATTATAAATCTAATTTTAAATGATTTTAGAACTTAACACAATTGATATTGAGTTGATATACATGTTTTTTAAAAAAAAGTTATGTAATAAATGTATTTTTTAAAGACAGTAGAATCCAGCTTATCCATCCTAGTAGGGGATCATGAAATAATCAGGTTTAGTGAGAGAATAAAAAAATATAATACTAATATAACTTGTATATCAGCTAAAAATTAATCATGGATCATATGTATATTGATATATATGACATTTAACGGAGGAGGACAATCCATATTCTTCATGTTTTGATTGAACTCAAGAGAAAATTAATGGCTTTAAATACTTTGGAGGCTTTCAAATAATTATATTTTCTTTTTTGTTACCAAACTAATTTTATTCTACATTTTATCCAATCCAAAATATTGCTTTTGTCTCTATAGATTAAAACTAAATTAGTTTTATTATAGTTTGGTTCTTAGAAATAGAAATGACTCGTTCCAGTTTCAATTTTTTCTTATATCTTTTTTTTTACTTTGATTTTTCACTGAAGAACCTAAATCAATGGTTCTTTTTTGACAAGAATACTATTAGCACTAATCGCATTAAAAATAAACTTTAACTCGTTTTTTGTATATTTTGTGAATTGGTTCCATAATGATAATTACCCTCGATATGATGAGACTAATTTAAATTAAAACAAATTTATTATAATTCTAAATTAAATTTTCTTTAGATCTTTAATTTAATTGAAACGTAAAAATTATTGCACCATTTTTAACAGTACTTAATTCAGTTCTGTTTCTTGATCAATGTTTGTTCAAGTGATTTGACCGTAATCATGCTCAACTTCCAGGTTTTACTCCCGTTAATTATGAGACTTCGAGCATAGATGCATAGTGCCTTACTTATTGAGTTACCACTATACCAGGACTTATTGCCGAGAGTTATTATTATTGTGATTACTGTATTTAATGTTTTTGTAATTAAAAGAAAATTCCAAATTCTATTAAGGATAGGGAAAATAAAAAAAATGAACTTTAGTAACTAGTAACTTCAGAGGTAGTAAGATAGTATATTAGCTGTTTGTTACACTACTAATCCCCTTTACTACATAGATTAAGATTTGCTTTGCTAAAAATAACTTTTTTTTTATATGTTATTGATTTTTTAGATTAATAATTTACTAATTATGAAAGCATAAATATTAAAACTAATTAGCAGTAAACTGTATCCAAAACTTAATTTAATTTGTTTTCTTCATTTTTTAAGGTTAATCTAGGGAGCTGGTTTAGCTGAGTTCTACTGTAGTATTAAATATAATTTCATTACTAAAAAATATTTCAATACCATATTTGAACAAAAAAAATTTTTTGTTACAGAACTTAAGTAATAAGTAAAATTTCTATAAAATAAAATTGGGAAAATTGTAAATGATACTTTCGAATAATTTTCCCATAAACAATAAATATATTAATTTTTTATTATAAAAATACTTTTTAATATAATATACTTCTGCACTTTCCTTAAAGTGGGTATATTTTGCATTCTATTGATTGCATGCTCATAATTTGTAACCGATAAATTACATTTTTTAAAATTAATTTTGTACTGAAAACTTTTTTCTATAAGGATCTCAACATTTGCATGCTTGAGAGAACATCATTTTTGGAATAGGAACAGGATCAAGACTGTGATGAAAAATAAAATTCAAAAATTCATAACTATCAAAGAAAAAGGTACATATACTAGAACTATAAACAATATGAAGGTTCATTTTCTAAGGAAATTTTGGAAAAGGTTCAATATTTGTTGGATTGAATGCTTATTCTTTTTTCTCTTTAACAAAAGAAATTCGAACATTGAGACATGCTATCATAAACAATCTTGTTTTGTTTTTGTATATTTTACTTATCGAGTGTGCACCACTTTGGGAGAAACAGACTTTTCGTTCACTCATAGGATACTTTGGCCCTGAAATCGATATTAAATTCATATTTTAACTTAATGATTTAGCAAATTTCTTTTTTTTTCAAATAGTACAATAAGCCATTTAAAGAATTATAAAATAAACAAGAAAATGTTTACTAAAAATCATTAAGTTATTAATCAAACTTAAACTCAAAGTCTGCTAGTTAGAAGACCTAATTAACAGAAACTTATTATTATGTCTAGACTAAAATTAATTTTAATTTATATTAATATTTTCTAAAAACCATTTTTTTGTATAAAATTTGTACTTATTATAAATATATTTTTTATTAATTATACATTTTTAGGATATGTTTAAGGTAATTGGCAAGTTCAAATCCTAACTAACTGTTAAGAGAAAACATGAACCGTAAACAGTTATGTTTCACAAATCAGCCATTTATGTTCCTAATCCGTTTTCATGTCTGTCCTTTAAGATTGTAAAATGTAAATCACAGACAAGTTTTAACTTTATCACTATGATATCTTCAGTAAAATAACACTTGCCCCACAACATGTACTTATTCTGTCCACAACATGTACTGTTGCTTAAAGAATGCACTTTCAGATGCCTTGTACAAACTTCTTCACTATGGCAAGTGCGACAGTGTTAAATTGAAAGTATTGAAAGCGAGAGTCTTAAATTGAATTATCCATCTCATAAAAATGAACATGTTTGAAATGGATGAACGATTGATGATGTTTTAAAACATGAAACTTGAGTTTGATGTTTAAAAACATTATTGTCTTAGAAAAGTTATGAAAAAGTCTAGCTTAAAAAACAAAAATTTTGATGTTAATAAAACTTTCTAAAAATCGACTGTGCATTTACACCACATTACCTTATACTATCTAACTAGAAAATTACCACATTTTAAATAGTTATTTATTAAATTCAGTATTTAATACATTGTTTTATTAGTTTTCTCTTTTAAAATTGATATGTTTAAGTTCAAATTGAATATTGTACATCAACAGAGTTTGCATAATTGCTGTGAAAATAACGATTCAAAGAAGAAATGATTTTTCAAAGCATATTTATATAAAAGTTATTTTATATGCATAATAAATAAAAATAGCATAATGAATGCTTAGTCCAGGAACGAATCGTGTTCAAAAAATACCTTCATTCTTTTTAATGTCGAAAGTAATAGAGATTTTCTTTTCATTTTGTAAATCTTTTCAAAGATAGTGGCTGACAAAAATAATAAAATTGAGAGTTAAACTGTTTAATTATTTTCTTCACTTAATAACAATGATTGAAAAAAACCCTGACAACCATTGCTACCGCAAAGGTTTGGAAAAATCTATATAAAATAACTGGAAAGCCCAAAAACAAAAAGTAATGGGCGTTAAGCTGCCTTCTGTAACTTTTAGTCAAACTTTTTTTTAATCAATTTTTACTTTTTCATACTTTCGGTTATGTAATTAAATTTAATTAATTAATTATTTAAAGCTAAATAAATGATTTAAATACATCATAAAAGAAAGCTAAAGTTTAACAATAATGAATAATATATATATATATATATATATATATATATATATATATATATATATATATATATATATATATAATAAAATATTTAGGAGTTTTATTTAATTTATTTTCTTAAGCATAATAGTTATGATACAAGTCATGTATATTTCTTATTTTTAAACCTTTTTAAGTTAAAATCCTAATAAATTTATTGTTATAGTATAAATGGGTATGTCCAGTTTTGGGCTTGATAAAGGATTTCTAAAAAAAGTAATCAACAATATGAAGCCCAAAACTTTACATATCAATCTCATCTATAATAAGGAATTTATATGTCTATTATTATAAAGCTTTAGCTTCCTCTCATGATATAGTTATTTTAATAACTCAAATTATTAATAAATTGTTATTCAGTGTGACATGTTAGAAAAAGCATTACAGATACTCCCACACAAACTTGAGTTTTAACATTTTCTTTTTCATCAAAATGATAAAATTGTAATGTTGATAATAGGAGTAAAAATATGATTAGATAAAACACTAAAGAAAGAAAAATTGTATAACCATTATGGGGATAAGCCTCCAAAAAAAAAAATAAAATACAAATAAATGTATTATAGATTAATAAATAACAAGAGGAGAATCTATGATGATCTAATAATAGATCAAAAGCTTTTCTAGAATACTTCTCTTTAAACTAATATATAAATACATTTATTTCATAAATATTGGCAATGAACATTGGAGAATAACTATTTATTCAAATTATGAAGGATTTAAAGAGCATACTTATAATTTCTTTTATTTCTCATTATGAATACATCTCTAAGCCCAGAAAATTTGGTTTGATATTTATTACATATTCGTAAGTTCTCAAATAATCCCTCTTGTCACATATTTCTCATTATCAGTTTGATTATGGTGTCAGTTCTATTTAAATTAAAATATATATTATATTTACCTTTGAGAGCCCTGACGTAGGATTGCCAGAATCTGGCTTTCCTCTGGATTGGTTCATTTCGCCCTATCATGTCGAGGTGATTGTGGAGAAGCATGTTGATTGGTGTTTCGAAGGATCTCTCGTTTACCTAATTTCTGTAACAAAAAAATAAAATATCTCAATTGAATTTATGTTGATTCAAAAGAAAGCCTATTACTTTCTTTACTTAATTAAGAGAAATAATTCTAAATAAATGTATTATCTTGTTTTAATTGGTTTTGAACAAGAATTTTGAATATTTTCATTCAATTATCTAAATAATAATTAATTATTATTTTCTTTATAGTGTTGTGTTAAACAGTGAATAAAGGAATATGTAGAGATAATTGTCCCAAATCTGTTTCAGATTAGTGGTCAAGTTATATTCAATTCCTGAAAGTCTTGCTGAATAGATCTCAACTTTAACAGCAGAATTATAGCACTTACAAGTTTGATGAGGTATTTGACAAAAGAGACTGTAAGTGTCATTTAACTTCTCTATGTATACGAACATCTTTACTGTGAGCAGTATAGCCACCTAATAAACTATAATAAAAATTTTTGGAAAACACTGTTATAACATATTATTATGTTTCAATTATTTCTGAAATTGAAATTGATTCTATCCAACGCTATGATGTTATTTAATTCTTATAGGAGGAATAAAAACTTCATAATATATCTTTAGTTAGATTTATTTTTATTAATTGAGTTTGTGTTATACTGGTTATTGAAACTGCTTGAGTGTCTAAATATATATGTATATATATACACTTATATATTTAAATAAATGAGTTATATTTCTTAAAATAAACATGAAATCTTCTGTTCTCATACTATAGTATTTAGTCAGTTATCATATGCCAGTCTCATCTAAAACCTGTTGTGAGGAAATGTTGTAAACTCAATAGGAATAATCTGCTTCTGTCATTTAATTAACTATTATTGATGTCTAAAAATAACATCACAAATTGTTATTGACACAGTTATGTTGTTTATTGTTTTAATCACAAAGAGGACGGATATTCTCCCCTTTGTATCAATTTTGTTTTTTTAAACTATTTTAGTTTTGATATCTTGATAACCAATAATAATAATAATTATAGTTGATCAAAATAATTATAAAATTATGAATTACTGTACGTGATCGAAAGACTGTAAAACAAATCAATATGATCAAAAAAAATCTCAATGGGAAGTGGTGGACATTGATGGAATATTTGACTTCTGGACATTGTTTGTACTAGTAAGGAGGTAAACATACTAAAGGTCCCCAGGCGAGGGGGCGCCTAATTGGTCACTTTTTTCCGGTTTTCACTTATACCAGGAAAACTATCTATTACATCGACAAAGACGTTCTATACAAAATTAAAGCTGATAAAATTTTCAATATGATTGATTATATACTTTTTTTTTGTTATCTCTCTTAGTTTCCGAGATATCCGTGGTCAACTGTGGCTAATTTCGAAAAAAAAAAAATTCCTCGTGTTTATTGCTGTTTTTCGGGTTTTCCCTTATATCAGGAAAACTATTCATCGCATCGACAAAGACATTCTATACAAAATTAAAGTTAATAAAATTTGCAATGTGATTTATTATATACCTTTTTTTTTTGCTATCTCGCTCAGTTTCCGATATATCCGTTGTCAACTATAAATTTGAAAAAAATAAAATTTGCCTGGTGTTTTATACTGTATTTGATTAGCTAACTTTTGATTGTTTTGTTTTACAATTAAATGATGTGGAGGAAAGTTTTTAATAATTAATTTTACTAGTTTATCTCCAACTGTTCAAAAGTTACAATAGTTATAACTTCATATGTTGATACCGAGTATTTGCAATTTTTTTTTTTTTTTTTTTATAATATTCGTTATTATTATATTGCTCTAACTCTCTCTCTCTGATTTTGATATTTGATTACAATTTTGATGTACAATATTGTTATTCTCAAGAGACTTTGTCACAGAATAAAGTTGATTCTTCTATTCTATTCTATTCTCTCTCTCTCTCTCTCTCTCTCTCTATATATATATATATATATATATATATATATATATAATATATATAATCAAAACTTAGTCAATTAAATACAGTAAAAAACATGAGGTAAAAAAAAATTCCACATTAGCGATAGCTGAGGACGGATATCTCAAAAACTAAGCGAGGTAGCGAAAAAAAGTATATAATTAATTATATTGCAAATTTTATCAGCTTTAATTTTGTATAGAACGTCTTTGTCGATGCGATGGATAGTTTTGCTGATATAAGCGAATATTCGAAAAAAGTGACCAATTAGGCGCCCCTCCCCCTCACATCTGGCTCACCACCTAGGATTCGCGACTTTTAGTATGTTTACCTCCTTACTAGTCCAAACAATGACCCAAAGTCAACAATTGTGTCGCCGACATTTTCTTGTATAATCATTCATTGACTGAACAAATGGGAGATGTATGAAGTTATGTGAAGTATATAGTGTTTCTCTTCTTGATTCTTGAGGCTATGCTTAAGGGTTCTTATTTAGATTGTCTGTTTCTGTACATTTATATGTAATTATTATGTAAGGTTATGTAATTATTGACCTTATTTTAGGGAAAGAAAAATTCAAATGTGAAAATATTCCTTAGCTTTATATACGTCTTTTTTTAAAAATTCTGTGAAACTGAATTCTTTCAGCAATGGATTTATATATCTTGAGTTTTTGAATGCCATTTAGATTTACTAAGATATTATTAACTTTTTAAAAACGAGTGATGACATTCGGATTATGTCACGGTATTAATAATTGCGAATTACTATTCTTGGCAACTTACACAAATAAATCCGGATGACGAATCGTCGAGGCTCGAGTAGAAATGTTTATGTATGACATATATATTTAGGATTCACAAAGTCATGCTATTTTTAAATTATATTTCAGTTTCTTGTGCAGAAAAAAAAATTACAAGGATGGGAGACAGATTAATACCCATGAAAAACGATTGTATGAAACGGGATGCGAAGCCCACGGCTGTTGAAATATTTTTGGGATCATTATTGTTAACCTTGAACCTCTGAAAAACCACGGCATGAACCACAGCCAAGTCGGTGTCAAATGTTCTGACAGTCCTTGTATTGCCAGTACACCAAAAATATTCTCTGACATTCCTCTAACGCCCTTGGCACATTTGTGAAGCTCTGCCTTCCCACCTAATTACAGAATCGTCTCGGTAGCTTCTTCTGCCGAAATATCGATTTTTATTTCTTTATAAGATGATCGAATAGCGAATTAGAAAAAACCAAGAATCCATTTTAACATAAGAGTGTCAATATATTTTTATGTGGGGTGACCGAATGGGCTAACATGTGTGCACTGCACCGCCGTTGCCCGGCAACCTGATACATACGAGATTGATAAAAAAAAAAAAAAAAAAAAAAAAAAATAGTCACGAGTTTGCGTACCGGTCCCCGGAGGAGTTTTTAAATCCCCGCCCACACTCACTGGCCCAGGAAAACCCCCGTATAGCCTTAAAGGCGAGGAAGGGGAGGACAAAAAAAATATATATATATATTTTTTATGGACCTTAATTAATATGGACCTAAGGCTTATTAAACAAAAAGCTTTTTCTAAAAATGGGCTAATTTTAGTATTGTTGAAGGATAATAAAAACAAATCGCGAATAATTTATGATTTTCTGAAAAACATAATTTAATATAGTTGGCGTATTAAAAGCCCTTCTTAAATGATTTATCATTAAAAAACTCCATCATTATTTGAAGTAAATTTTGTCTAGTGTACTGTGAAAAAAACGTGTAATTACTTAAATTAAATAGTGCTTTAGTTATCACATACAACTCAACAAAAAACGTGACTTAAAATAAAATACAGACTTTTAATTCCCAACTTTTCTGTCGTAAATCGGGCCATATATATATATATATATATATATATATATATATATATATATATATATATATATATATATATATATGGTTTGAGTGCTACCAATGGATAGTTTCTCTTTATTTTGTACATGTCATGTTAATTATCTCATATTTACTTGTTGTATTTATCATTTAATACAGTTGTAAATTTCAATAATAAATAATATATATATATATATATATATATATATATATATATATATATATATATATATATATATATCGATAATAACATCCCTACAAGCCTACAGAAATCAGGAGCCAATAAAAAAGAAAATTTTTATGATTGACAAATGTTCCATGCTATATTCAATTGGAGGTGCTACGATTGTTTAAAGTTTAAATTTTAAATATTCAATGAAAAGTCCACTTACAACATAATCAAGTTTTACTAACTGCAAAAGTGCACAACCAGCCAACTATATGTTAGAGACCGTCAGGCTTCCAGGTATTAGGTAAATCATTAGAACCCGGAAGCTGCCAAAGGTTCGAATTTGGAACCGTTCCCAACAAGGCCAAACAACAGTATCGAATAACTAGTGCCTTCCCTAGAGTTTATGAAGGTAACTGCCTACATATATAAAACATCACCTCCTCGAAAACAGATATTACGTACGGTTAGCATCCATTGATAATGCTAGTGGAACAAGGGTATAGGTGCATTTACAAAAAAGAAAATAGAGTTTAATGCCAGAGGCCGAACTCTAAATTTTTATTTTAACATACTAGTCTATGGTACAGACCCCCTTTTTTTGTCAAATTATTAACATCCGGCTGAAACTTCGTAAATAGCTTCATTTCATCGTAACCTACAAACATTTTATTTACGAAAATTCTCGGAATTGGGGAGTTTTCAATCTGACGATGGGCAAACTTTGTCTATTTAATTAGGTACTAAAAACTCGTAAACACCCATTTCCTTTCCATTTGGATCGTAAGATAATTTGATCATAAAATCGACAAAAAAAGGTGGCCTACAAAAATATTGCGCCGTTTGGAATATATAACTTCGTTATTTTGACAATTTGGGGGTGTACGTCACGCCAAACGGCTGAATATTTTTGAAGGCCACCTTATGGTATAACATACATGTCTACCCAGTGCTGCTTTCAAAAGTGCGGATCAATTTCAACAGATGGTTACTTGGTTTGAAGGTAAGGAGATATAAGCCACAGTTGGACAAATTTAATTCCAA